CTTATCCCTTTGATGTGTGAGTGAAACAATGTGTAATAAATCCAGTGATTGTCTTTGATGTTTTGTTTTGATTTCTTCACGTATCGATAGTAAGGAAAGATATCAAGGGGAAGTAACTCAGTGCATATACTGTGGTTTCAGCAGTACGAACGTTTCACTATCCGAACGTTTTTTTATAAAAAATCCAAAGTGTTCGTATTAACGAGGTCTGACTGTACATTGATTGACCATTAATGATGGCCAGGCTTCAGGCAGGTTTTTGTTGAAGTCTCTTGAGGATTTGTTGGATAACATTTATCTTTAAGTGCTATTGCTGTCACAAGTCCTTACGAGCCAACTTTGAGTGCCAACTTTATGTGCCATCCTTAAGTTCTTGTTTGGTTAGTATGTTTAAAGCGTTTCATTATGTTTAACATTCACACCAGGTTAAAAACTTAAATCAGAAGAAAATGTTTTAAGTATTAAAACACAGGTATGTGTATTATGGGTTTACGAGGGATTACAAGTATGAGTATGGCTTTGCTATCAGTAACTATAGATAAAGCATGTCTAAAGTGTTGTCCAGTTGTTGCAGCCAGTGATAAGATAAGCTGAGTTATTGCAGGTGTTTACAATGCCTGGGTTTGCTACATACACTCTCAGGGAGGGGCCCATATCTCTAGATATCTTGTCTTTAGACACTCTGTATCAGCACTCTCATTGGAAATCATAAATATCCCAAATTTATAGCTGTCATCCTCTTGTGTTACTTCTCTTGACTTACCATTATTTGCTAAGTTCCTAATGTTTCTGTATGTGTCAAGTTACGATGTATTCTTAAAATGTAGATTTGGGGTTAAATGTAAGACAATCCAAAATAAATCAAGGCAATGTGATTTTTTTTTACATAACTACAGCATATCAAAGGGATTATCTAAGATTTCAGCCAAGGGCCCTTGTCTGATAAATTGGAGAATAATCATAATTTTGTTGAAAATTAAGATCAAAAGAGATTGATCTGACTTTTATATTTTCTGAAACTCAGAGGTATTTTGATACAACATTCTGTGCAAAAATGTAAAACTAAATATAAAAGCTTGTAGATAAAAGCTGAGAGATACCTCTACAAAGCCATAACACTGGTTGCACAACAAGAATTAATATTTTTTTCAATGAGTTGTTTTACTTACATTCTGTAGATTTGTTGTATTGTGAAGGATGGATGATTAAGGAGGTTTAGTGGGTGGAAGAATGGGGATGGATAGATGAATGGCTGACTAGATGGATATTGATGGATGGGTGTTTGAGGGCATAAATAGATGGATGGCTTAGTGGACGAGATGAATGAATGAGTGGTAGAGTAGTTAATGGATGGATACATGATGGATTGAGAGATGGTTTAGTGGATGGGTTGATTGATGCATGGTGGGTGGATGGATAGATGGAGGTTGACTAGATGGATAGATTGATGGATGGGTGCTTGGGATAAATATAGATGAATGAACGAGTGGTAGAGTTGATTATGGATGGATAGGTGGACGGATGGATGAGTGGATGGTTGAGATGATGAATGGATAAGGGTGTATGAATGAATTGACATCATATTTTGTTGTTTTTTACAAAGGGAAAGCCTACACATTTTAAAGAAAGGGATTTTGTTTGTTTTAGATTAACTTTTGATTTGATATCACGATTGACTAAACTACAGAGTAGGTTTTCTATAAAGCTTTGACTGTTTGTGTTGCCATGGATTAAAGATTTGTTTTGTTGATTGAAAATCAGTAAATATATGATGTTGTCTATATGCCATACTGACAGCATGATACGACAAACAATGAAGCTGTACATTGTACAGAGATATACTGCTCATTAATGATCACAAACTGAACAAGATTTTGGATGACAAATGGTATCTTTCTCTATTATCTAGAGGTATGAAAATAATCAATAGATGTTCAAAATTCCTTTGATAAACTTCAGATTTTCTAACCTTTGTTACACACATTTTGATATATTTCATCTCAAAAAAACATTCAGGTGAGATTGTCTATGCATTAGTGTTGGGAATTGGTTGAAATCTCATAATTGATGATTGCTTCATTACCAACGAACAATCATCGATAAAAATTGGTTAGCGTCAACTTTCAGATTTTCCTATCCAGGTTGTTATTGCAGATATGTATAACATGATGCACCTTGCTACTTTAAAGTGATGTTGATATATCATGAACATAAACCTTCTGGGGTCTTCAAGAAATATTCAGTCATGACTTTTCAGTTAGTGAAGTGAGTTTTCTAAGAATTAAACAAGTTTTCAGGCCCTGACAACTTCGAAGTTATGTTCCATCGTCAAGTGTTTCAAAGACTAAAACAGCAGTTCCAAAATCGTTTGTGTTCGATTATGAGAAAATGTGATCGATTGCTTGGTCGTTTGGTCACTTCGACAAATCTTCGATTATTTCAATTAATTGGAACACTCAAAGATTGTTGTAAGGAAACAGCTTTTGTAAATAATGGTTCAAATCTGTGTAAAACCTCTGTACTATAAGTATCATAGACCCACTTGAAAGTGCATGAATAAAGATTTATTAAAATAAAATTCAAATACCTTGACCAATTCATGTGTTTGCCCCTCTAACTCAAAGGCAAAGAGAATTAATACATGCAGGATTGAAAAGAATGTTGTAAGTAGTTTTATATCTGTTCAGAAGCTTATCAAGGCACCTGGTCACTTGAACTGTGGGCAGGAAATATTGAATATTAACTAGTTGTCATAACCACCACATACAATGTTATAGATAATGCAATATTCTGCTCATAACTCAGAATTAAGTCCACCCTAAGCCGAGATTACTTCAGTACAGCTGGCTCATCACTCATGTCTGTAGTTCAGGTTAAACCCTAGAAAATGAATATACTGATATGTTTACGACTGATATGTTATCTTACAGTCTGAGTATTGATGAGGTCAATGTATTGTAATATCGACAGCATGGAATATGATTCTTATAAATGAACTTTATTGATTATTCAATACATATATTATACAGGGATATTATTACCCTAAGAAGTTACAGAATACCTTATTCTTTCATATTATCACAGTTAATTTGTCATGGCACTACTTTCAACCATGTGTATGTTATGATATGATATGGCATCTTGGGTTAAACAGGGTATAATCCATTTTATATTTTGCATTCATTTAGAATTAAATCCAGTCTTCCACATGACAAGCGAACACTTTAACCACTAGGCTACCCCACTAGACTGACTGAGTTTGGTTTTACGCCGCTTTTAGCAATATTCCAGCAAATCACGGCGGGGAACGCCAGAAATGGGCTTCACACATTGTACCCTTGTGGGGATTCGAACCCGGGTCTTCGGCGTGACGAGTGAACGCTTTAACCACTAGGCTACCCCACTGCCCCCTATGAGACTAGAAACGTGGCACAATGTAAGGGTGGTTTATATTAAGTCTCAGAAGCAGCTCAGGTTATGTTTAATGAAGTTGTCAGTGGATGAGAAAGCATGCCCTTCGGTTCACCCCAATTAATGAAGATCATCAAAAGATCTTAGTGAATGTAAGAATAGTACATTACCAGATCTGGTATGTCTAATACTTTATTGTTATGCATGATGTAATCCAGGTCTGATTGTCTAGTGGCAGTCTTGTAAGTAAATCTGCCATTTTGGGACATGTAATGACGAGTCTATTCATAATGTGTCAAATTAAATTCAGCAATTCTAAATAAATAAAATAAATAAATAGATATATATATACTAGTAAATAAAGTGAATTCTCATGCCCTACATTATTAACAGCCATGATCTGAGTTTACTCGGTTGTTATTCTCAACTCCCTGGGGAGTATGCAATCCCCATCAACTCATAATGTCCATAACCTGCTATGAACTCACGTAACTCATAGCCAAGTTAGTGTGTGACTGCATAATGATCTCCTATTGATGACAGGGTTATCTCGATTAGTTGGGGTGAACTGGGGGGCATATCAGGATTAAAGAGAATCCCAGCAACAAGACTGTAGTAAACCCTCGTCCTACACCTGCCTCAGTTTTCCACTTTTTGTAGTTTTAAGCCTGAGTAATGAAAATGTATGTAGTAATAAGTTTATGTCCTGCAGTCGAGATAATACTGTTTGCTTAGTGTTTGAATAAAGTAGGATTGAATGATCTCTGAAGGTTATTTCATTTGTCAAGTTTATATGTATAATGAATGTGTAGCCTGTAGCTACTTAATTCCTGGTGTTTTCTACGTTTTATAATTATTGCCTTATAGCAGGAGGCAAAATTACTACTTAAAGATATTTTCAATACAGACAAAAAGGGTTGGAAATGAGAGTATCTTAATTTTCAAAGGCATGTTTTTAAAAAAGACACACTTTTCCACTTTGATATTTGGCTTGGTCATAATTATTTAAAGGAAATAAAATTAATTGAGATTATTATATACTGGGATGATTAAATGCCTTAGAGTGTTTCAGTTCCTAACTCATATAAGGCACTATACATATTTTGTATATTACATGTATTATGTATGCTATTATTAAAGAGTTAATGGTCATGCCAAGGTTATTCAGATGAAAAAGACTCTCAACACCCATTATTGCCCTTTCATACCCCAGATCCATATATTCTATAAGCCAGCTCTGCTATTTGATCTTGAAGATGCTGAATCCCTTCAAATCACAGGGGCGTTGGCGTAGATTAGTGGGTAAACGTTTGCTTGTCATGCTGAAGCCCCGGGTTTGATTCCTCGCATGGGTACAAAGTGTGAAGCCCATTTCTGGTGTCGCCTGCCATGATATTGCTGGAATATTGCTAAAAGTGGCATACAACTAAACTCACTCTCACTCACTCCATGTCAGCTTGCTCACAGCCTTAATCTTGCCGTTTATTTGGTTAATTGATGCCATGTTCCAGTGCTGACACAAAATGTCTGGTGTTTGGCACAAGTGCCATCGTGAGGCTGAACATAATTAGAATGTTTTTGTCTTTCAGACTTGAACCAGGATCTGGTATCTGAGTACTTGGACCACAACCCAGAGTTCCTGGACCACTATGTCCAGGCCCAAGTCAGTCTGGACCAGATTGACCGATGGCAGCTGAGGAAACTCCGTCCACCATCCAGATACAACAACCGGCCTCCGTCGATGGAGTTTCTCTCAGTCAATGGTCAGTACAGATATTAGGACATCCTTATATACAAATGTACACCTGTTATAATTCACTGTGTTGGGTACATGATGTTTCTTAAATGTGACAAATTATTCCATGAATAGTTTCAGCTCTACAAATACATCAGAACAGGGGTGGAAATAACTTTAAAATTGCTAGTGTACTCCGGAACAGTGGCACATGTAAAATCACTTGCCCTGATGATTTTTCCACTATACCGTCCATTTTCTTGTTGATTTTTTAAAATAAACAACATAAATAACATTGGAAAGTCAACTGGACACCGGTAGAGTGTGATTTACAAATTTGCTTGCCCGACAGAAAAAACTTGGACTCGGACGTCGGGCAATGGGTTATTTCCACCCCTGCAGAAATATGGTTGTGTGCATCATGCTATCTGTTGTCATTCTTACATATATCATGTTTGAAGATGCTTGTGTTCACTAGTCTACATGGGCGGTTCCAGAAATTTTGAAAGGGTGGGGCTCAGGGGGTTCGAACACCCTGACACACCAAACACACACACACACACACACACACCCACTCCACCACACACACACACACACCCATTGGCTCCGCCAACGCAAAAAAAAATCTTCAATCTCAAATGTATAATCCACATTGACTTAAACATGTTTTATTCACAAATCCAAGTAAAACACCCACTCCCTGATATTTACATACATGCATTTTCAATACTATACATATCCACATTACTATCTGGTATTACAGAGTTTTAACATGGCGTCATGTCATGACTCAAAATATACAGTCGAGCACCGTTGTGTCGAACTCTGATAACTCGATATCTCGGTTGTCTCGATATAACATCTTGGTCCAGGCAAAATCCTTCATAATTTATCATTATTCATTGTCTTGGAGTTCGGATAACTCAATATGTTTTCTTGGTCCCATGAATATCGAGACAATGGTGCTCATCTGTATATATACAAAATCTGGATTATTGTAACATATACTTCTGCTTTCATTAAACATTGTGAGGTCAATTTTAGTTACACAAACATTTTTGGGGTCATATTTTTCTACATTGAGGTCACCAGTTTGTAATTGCCTAACTGTCATCCTATCACAGCAAGGGAAAACACCCACTGTATATCTACTTGTTAATGAAGACAGGGACCAAGTCTAATAATAACTCAGTTGTCTGAACCTTTTCATTTGAACTTTCAGTATTTACTAATGATGTGGGCTACGTTTGTTGTGTATGGGATTCAAAATATGGTCATTTTGCTTTTGCATAAACAGTTCCCACAACTGCGCAACAGCGTGGATAATAGTCACCTGTTCTCACAGATAAGGGATTGAAAGTTAGTATCTGCAGGGGTAGAATGCAGCATATCTTTTCAAGTTATTGACATGTATTGAATTGCATAATACGACGCCTCATTGATTCTTTATAGTACATGTTGTGGTTTAAATGTTCAAGGTCAGGGGCGGCTACAGCTTTTTGAGAAAGGGGGGGTGCACACTATTGAGAAAAGGAGGGGTACACACTTCATTTTCACCCGAGTTTCAACGGTCATTTAACAAACTTTCAGCACAAAAGGGGGTTGCACTCCCCCACCACCCCCCTACCCTCTGGATCCGCCTATGAAGGTGTGTAGGTGGCCCAATAATCTATGTGCCCCAACTTGCTGTTTACTGTTTACGTCTCTGTTCACACATTCTTGGTCCATCATTTTGCAGCTGTATGCAAATGGACTGAATTATTGAAATGCAGTCACTACTACTGAGAGGTCAAGAAGTTCATCTATTGACAGTGACTGATGCAACCCATGTCACTTGTTTTAATTTGTTTCCAATGGTAGATTAAAGCCTGTCGGGAGGATGAATTCTTTGTAGCAGTAGCACTCGGGTTTGATGTATCCCTTGTTAGATTGTGCACCATTCACCTGCAGCTCATGATATCCATGAAGATCCAGGTGAGAATTGATCTTCAGCAACCCATGCTTGTCGTAAGAGGCGACTAACCGGATTGGGTGGTCAGGCTCGCTTACTTGGTTGACACATGTCATCGTATCCCAATTGCATAGATCGATGCTCATGCTGTTGATCACTGGATTGTCTGGTCCAGACTCAATTATTTACAGACTGCCTCCATACAGATGGAATATTGCTGAGTGCGGTGTATAGCTAAACTCACTCACTTGTGACTTGTGAATGGCAATGGAGCACAGGGTAGGCCTGTCCATGCAACGTTTTTTTGTGCTATTTCCCACAATTGAGAGTGGCTGTCTCAGCAAAGATCACTTTAATACATGGCACCATGGTAATTCTGCCTTAGAACTGCTTGTTTGTGACGGTTTGGGCTTGTTTGTGAAACATATGCATGTGCGTTCGATTCCTTGATTATTGCTTCTTGATATCGTCAGCACCACACCCATCCCTGTGGGTTTCTCCAAAGTGGAAACCATCTAAACCCTACATCTCTTTGGGCTTTCCTTGTACATCAGTTAGAGTGCTTTAACAGTGTCTGTCTAACTCACTCACTCACTCACTCACTCACTCACTCACTCACTCACTCACTCACTCACTCACTCACTCACTCACTCACTCACTCACTCACTCACTCACTCACTCACTCACTCACTCACTCACTCACTCACTCACTCACTCACTCACTCACTCACTCACTCACTCACAATTTCATGGGACCCATTGAGCACAGGGTAGGCATGTCCATGCACTATGTTCCTGTACATGACCACACTCTTAATCACCCCACCAACAAACAGACCTACATTCTAGACAAGTATCACATAAGTTGTACATGGGCTCCACCCCCCCAATCCCCTGTCTGGCTATTAGATTGTCCAGCCTGTCAGTCTGATCAAAGGACACCCCTTCAACTGTCAGATCCCATCAGCCAGTATTACTATATTAGACCCTGGCTTCATGAGCTCACACACTCCAGGTGATAACGAACTGTGAACCAATAATTTGACTTGCCCACTTTCTGTGGTAGACTGATTGTCATACAGGTGCTTGACATGTGTATGCCCAATGTGAGTGACCTTGGAGAATGATGATGCCTTCTGGCATGTTTCATGGTGATCTGAGAGATGCTGTGGTAGCTGAGTGGTTATAGCCTTGGTTTGTCAAGTAAAAGAGTCTGGTTTGATTCCACGCAAACCCACAAACCCCTCACACCCAAACTATGCAGAAACAATAAAAACATAGACAAATTCAACAACGCACGCACGCACGCACACACACACATCACCATCTGAATGGGTTGACTCCTGAAACAGATATGTATGGCATCTTTGTATAGTCACTGTGTACAGGTGGGCAATGGAGTTCAAGAGGGGAGGAGAGCTTCAAAGAAGGTACAACATAAGAAAGACCTTCAAATGCTTCAACTGAGGAAAGTTTGGATAAATTCATGATATGATTACATATGATTGACGATTCACCACACATCACATAACAAGTACTGTAACCACCTCTCAGGAAGAATAACTTTTGGAAGAATAAATTGGGGCATGACAAAGGTTCAAGCACACTGGTTCCAAATCTTCTGACATCTGAAAAACTCTAAAAAGGTGTTTTGTTAAACTAGGAAACTCAGTGCTTGTGCGCAAGTCTGTTTATTTCATATCTTTAGTGCATGACCGTGGCTTTGAACTCAAGGAATTTCATATGTTGTCACTAGATTTAGCAATGTCAAATTTCCACCTCTTCCCATACATGAAGGTAGAACTGTCTGGCAAACATTATGCACATGATGATGACATCATATCTTCTGTCACTGGAAGGTTTTTACACCTACAGAAGGATTCCTTCTACACTAATAAGGATCCATTCACTTCAGAATCAATTGCAGAAGTGTATAGACCTCAGTGACCTCAGTGTCACAACAGTCCATCGTATTAAGCCTGAGAACATTAACCCACCCTCGTAATTGTCAGATCTATCCTCTCACGTACCCATATATAGACAACAAGACCTTTTTCCGATAGAAAAAATTAGCACAAAATCTATGAACCATGAAATATACATGACCAAATATTGAGACATGATATTTTGTTCCATTGTGGTAAGAAGTCCCCTGTTAATGAATATAGAGTTTGATGTTGCATTGAAGAATATTTTCCTTGACAGAGCAATGTGCCTGTATGTATGTGCGACTGCTTTTACTAGTCTGACTTATTGTGGTACCGTGGTGCTAGCTGAGATACCAGCAAGATCACACAGTTTCACATGGATATCTCACCGACCAATTTGTTCCATGATAATGACCAATTGAAGCAATTGTCAGGCAATGTAACAAGGTGCCATCTTTTAACTTAGTTTTGTAAGGTTCATATTTACACAGCATGCACAGTGGTCACATTTTCCCTTCCATAAACACAAAAGTTATTGAAATAATTCTCAAATATAGCGTTCTATGCATATGGAACTTGAATTCAAGCCTTATTACACATATACAGTAGAACATGGATATAGCGAACACGGATATAGCGTACAAACAGATATAGCGAACAAATTTAAAAGTCCCGTCAATAGTCCTTTATAATATCATTAAAATTATACGCGAATAACGAACTCGTGAGTAGCGAATTAACGGCTATAGCAAACTGATTTTACTACCCCCTATCGTTTGTTGATTGTGATTGTTAAACATGTTATAGCTAATGTCTGTGAATGATAAATTCAGAATTTTAATGTTATGTCAATGTACATGTACAAGAATAAAGATTTGTAGCCTCAGCATATACATGTCTCTACATCTCTACAATCCAAGATGGCGGTCAAATGTGAATAACGAACAACGGATATAGCGAACTAAATTTCTTGGTCCCTTGGAGTTCGTTATATCCGTGTTCTACTGTATGTACTATCACTAATGGTGTTCTGGTTAATTGAGATAATCAATGATTGGTCGCAGAGACCAAATGACCAAGCAATCGATCACATTTTCTCATAATCGAACACAAACGATTTTGGAACTACAGTGTTTTAGTCTTTGAAACACTTCGCAATGAAGTTGTCAGGGCCTGAAAACGTGTTTTTTTCTTAGAAAACTCACTGCACTAACTGAAAAGTCATGACTAAATATTTCTTGAAGACTCCAGGAAGTTTATGTTCATGATATATTAGTCATGACATAAAAGTTGCAAGTTACATCATGTTATACTTATCTGCAATAACAATCTGAATAGGAAAATCTGAAAAATGACGCAAACCATTATTTTTCATTGATTGCTTGTTGGTAATGAAGCAATCATCAACTGTGAGATTTGAACCAATTCCCAACACTAATTATCACGCCATCAGATCTGTCTAATTGTGCACTCTAATGGATTGATCTTCTGTACACCAATGACATAGGTTTGTGTAGCCACCATCAGTGTAGTGTCATCAGTGGTGATGTATTGTGACAACAGCGACAGAGATGTCTCCCTGCTGTACTGGATTGAACTCCATTAGCTTATTGAATGCTTCATTAAAGGATATGAAAGCTCTTGATTAGTTATCAAATATTTTTGTTTCATTATCTTTTGGGGTGTTTGTGTTTGAGGACCAGGCTCAACTTTCGGAATCCTGAAATGCAGATATATTTTTTTGACCACAATAAAAGTAACTTTAGTTTGGGCAAGGTAATTGATGCAGCGCTGTGTACCCCACTTGCAGCCTCATTTAATACAATATGTTGTATATTGAGATAATTTTGCCAAATGTCCATCATATTCCAAGTTACATGTGAAATCACCTATTGCATCTTCAATGTCCAATATGGGTAAATAAAGAAACATCAGTTCACCATCCCATAAAATTCTCATCCTCAACTGTAATTTACCTTAATGTAATTTGGTAAATACCATAAAGGTTCATCCCTGTTAGAGGACACAATGGTCCAGTCTTGTAAGGCACCACTGTTCAATGTGCAGAGTTACATCCCTTTGACACACCAGAACCCTATGATAATGGGTTTGAATCCCGGTTCATCCCCATTGTGTTTCCAGGTTTGTCACCCCCATACATGTGTTTCATCAAAATGGAAAAAATTGACCACATGCATCTCGCTTTCCCATATTTCCAAGCTCTCATGCTGTCACTTAACTGAAATATCATTCAAACTGATGTTAAACCATAATCACTCACTCACTCACTCCTATTAACTACTAGTATGTCAAGTCTAAAATTGAAATTATACAAACTGCCTTCTTGGTTTCTTTGATTGGCATTCTTGAAGTTGAGGACAAATACACTAATATCTTTATTCTGTATAGGTGACGTTTCAACATAGATTCTAATGTCGTTGTCAAGTCAAGTTGCTTGACAACGACATTAGAATCTATGTCGCCTATACAGAATAAAGAAGTTGTGTATCCATAAAAATTGCCTTGTTGGTGACTGCAATGTAGAAACAATCAGCTGTTAGATTGTTTTTAGTGTATCTTTCCTAACTTGGACCATGGAAGCAACTGCATAACTTCACTTCTTTGAGTCTCTTAACTTCATTCTTGATGTCTTGTTTCAGGTGAAAACCATGGTGACAGCAAATCAAGTCTTTCAAAGTGGAAGGTAGGGAAGTAACTCTGTATACAACATTAGAAACATCAATCTTCTGTAGATATTTTCTGCTGTTGTTCATGTCATTAGATTTGCATTTGTTAAAAGTACCATTTACTTGATTGTCTGGTCTAGACGTGATTGTTTAAGGGCCATTGTAAACCAAAAGTCACTGTGTTCTTTAATCTGATTGGTTGAAAAACATGATCAAATGGTATTCGATTCCCGGAAATTCGCTGCGTATTAATACATTCAAACATCGCTCACACCATTGTATTGTTACGTCGTCAGCTGTGATGACGTCATTCAAATCATATTGTGACGTAAAGTCCGAATGACGTCACAAATGAGCAGTTCCAGATGGTACCATGGGAGACAGCCGAAACGGCTGGCTGATGACATTTCACTGCTGTACCCGTACTCTATGTCAATGAGTGCAGACACAAAAACGTGTGTGGACCTTTTGGTTTACTTCTGTGTTTACAATGTCGATAAACATCATGTGTTGGCCAATTTCCGGGTGTTATTGAGTATTTGAAGCACGGGAATATTTCATTTGAAACCTCCGGGTGACGCTGTAGGTTCCAAATGAAGTCCCGTGCTTCAAATACTTAATAACACCCGGAAATTGGCCAGCACATTATGTTTATCTCCTAATTGTTACGTAGTTGGAACTTGCTCAGTGTGATGAGAACAACAAACAAAATGTATTAAGTTGTAAGTGACAGAAGGTTTTCTCTCTTACAATCATTCATAAATACCAAGTACGTGTCTTCAAATGTCAGTCAAGTTCCTTGAACGTCCGGGTAAGGAGTGATCTTTAGCAAACATATGCTTGGGAATTAATAGGATCAGGTTGTCAGGATCACTGACTCGGTTGTTATGTGTCTTCGTATCCCTGTAGCACAGAATCATACTCCTTATGTCTTGTCTACACTCAATTTTCATTTACTTACGAAAAAGAGACTTGGGATATTGTTGAGAATACATTCAGGCCAGACCAATTTTATTTCTTGTTTTATGGATCCGCCAGTTGTATTTTTTTTTCAAGAATAAGAAAAAAAAATATAATATATTTTCCCCGCTCAAAAAATATAATCCTCATGTTTTTATTGACCAAAATGTACACTTACCCAAAAAAACTTTTTGGATTGTTTTTTGCCCCATATACACTTCATTAATAGCCAAAAATAAAATACTTTTAGTGTTTAAAAGGAATATTAACTGTGACTGGTGATTTATATTTTTTATTTTTTTCCCTCCTGCCTTTAGGTTTTCTGAGGACAAAAATCCATAAAACAAGAAATAAAATTGGTCTGGCCTAAACAACAAACAAAAAATTGTCAGTCAGAACATGTTCGGATTGTTGTTATTGTCAAGTATGCTTGTTTTAACTTATGATAAAATAAATTGGACCAAACCTTTTCCATATGCATAAGTAGCTTGTGACAATGTGAGCATTTCAAACTGATGATATTATTTTCTTCAGTGTAATTTGAATTCCACTTCAGTCCCGAATTCAGACGAGCCGTAGTCGAGTGTTGCAGGAGTTAGCCAGAGAGGTGTATCAGCCCAGCGGGAAGGCCGTCATCCTGCATGAGCTGGCCAGCTGTGTGTGTTCAGGTACTGTGTCCAGCAGCAGCAGCAGCAGCAGCAGCAGCAGCAACAGCAGCAGACATGTTCTTAGTCTGTTACCTGGGAAATGTACTCAGACCATTATTTGGAAAGAGTACTTAGACCAATACCTAGAAAATATACTTAATCTATTACCTTGGAAAAATAGTTGACTCATTCTGTAATACCTAGGAATAAATATGTGGACCATTACATAGAAAGAATAATTGGACCGTTAAGAAAACTACTTGGCCCACCACCTAAAAATAATACTTGGACCATTACAATGAAAACATACTTAGATGGCATCATCAGACCACATTACTTAGTACTCATACTGAGCATTACCTAGAAAATATGGTGTCATATAAATAATATAGTTGATTTATTGTACCGTTATCTACTAACACATCACCAGAACATTTCCTGAAGGAAATATACTGAGACTAACAGCAAGGAAACAAACCGGTGCAATGATCAAGGATACAGACCGCTACCAAGGAAAGACTATTAGGAGACGATCAAGTAACCATACCTACACTAAAACCAAGTAAACACTACACTATGATCAAGTAAACATACCTACACTATGTCCAAGTAAACATACCTACACTACAATCAAGTAAACATACCTACACTACGATCAAGTAAACATACCTACACTATGTCCAAGTAAACGTACCTACACTATGTCCAAGTAAACATACCTACACTATGTCCAAGTAAACATATCTACACTATGTCCAAGTAAACATATCTACACTATGTCCAAGTAAACATACCTACACTATGTCCAAGTAAACATATGTACGCTATGTCCCAGTAAACATACCTACGCTATGTCCAAGTAAACATATATACGCTATGTCCAAGTAAACATATCTACACTATGTCCAAGTAAACATACCTACACTATGTCCAAGTAAACATACCTACACTATGTCCAAGTAAACATACCTACACTATGTCCAAGTACACATACCTACACTATGTCCAAGTACACATACCTACACTATGTCCAAGTAAACATACCTACACTATGTCCAAGTAAACATACCTACACTATGTCCAAGTACACATACCTACACTATGTCCAAGTAAACATACCTACACTATGTCCAAGTTCACATACCTACACTATGTCCAAGTAAACATACCTACACGATGTCCAAGTAAACATACCTACACTATGTCCAAGTAAACGTACCTACACGATGTCCAAGTAAACATACCTACACTATGTCCAAGTACACATACCTACACTATGTCCAAGTAAACATATCTACACGATGTCCAAGTACACATACCTACACTATGTCCAAGTAAACATATGTAGCTATGTCCAAGTAAACATACCTACACTATGTCCAAGTAAACATGCCTACACTATGTCCAAGTTCACATACCTACACTATGTCCACGTACACATACCTACACTATGTCCAAGTAAACATACCTACACTATGTCCAAGTAAATGTACCTACACTATGTCCACGTACACATACCTACACTATGTCCAAGTAAACATACCTACACTATGTCCAAGTAAACGTACCTACACGATGTCCAAGTAAACATACTTAGACAACAACAGTTAGGGAAACATACTTCTGTAGATTGTACGTCAGCCATATTTGATCTGCCATATTTTCCAGTGTGAACGATGTAATGTTTGTATTGAAGTGTTTAGTTTGAAACACATTAAACTATTAATAAATTATCAGTTGTTTGTTTCAGCAATCAATGCAGATGGTTATAATCTCTATCTTGTGGATGAAAGCAAAAGGGTAAGAAGATTTCATTACTCATTTTATTACCACATTCAAGACATCATAGTTATACTTCAAAATATGATCATTGTTATTATACCTTAGACTGCTATGCTTAACACTAAACTCAGAGTGGCAGCTCTAACATGTCATGAGGTTGTAGATGTATCCCACAATTCTTCTAACAGCTACGTTATCCATTATGTGACATGACGCGGGGGCGCGGTCGGTGAGCTGGCAAAGGCGCCAAGCAAGTGATCCAGCGATGTTGAGGTGTCGGGATCGAGCCCACCTGTGACCGGGTGTAAAAACCTTGGAGTCAAATTTGAGTGCAGACTCTTTCAGTGTTGTCACAACCCCTAGTGTACAGTACACAACCCTGTGCACTTAAAAGAACCCACGAATCCATTGGTATATGACCAGATGGTGGCCACATGAATACGTGCAAACACCTGGTTCCGGGTACAGCAACTTGCAGTAAACTTGGACAAAGTACTGTGACTATGTGTCCCAGTCCACCCAGCTGTGAATGGGTACCTCATTAGGATGAGAAAGCCACAATAACTCGGTGCGCCTAGTGGCTGCAAGAGTTGTATACTCCCCAGGGAGTTGAGATTGATAATATGATGTGCCGTTGAGATTGACATCCAATGACCGAGGGAAAAAATACCAGCGCCTTGAGCATGCACTAGTTGCCTGGATATGTGCGCAATATAAATATCCTATAATAATGACGATGTTGTATAAGACATCACACCTTCATGTCGATATTGATATATACAGGGTTCAGTTTCACCCTGTTCGCTGAGTCATCTTGCTGTAGGTAGTGATGAATCAATCCTTTTAATTATCACATCGAGCTTTGTTAGAAGTCAATACACTGAAAGTATTTTGTCCTTCATTTCAGGGTGATAATTGTCAATGTGTGATGTTTATTTTCACACATTGAATATTTTTGGATATAATGAATTAGAAAAAAAGGACGGCCGATTGTTCTCAGTCTCCAGTGGCAATGTGTTCATGCAATGTGGTGCGGTCATCACTATTACAATATAGTACACATGATCATGCTCTGCTCGATCAGGAGCGGTGGGGTAGCCTAGTGGTTAGGGCATTGGCTCGTCACTCGAAGACCCAGGTTCGATTCCCCACTTGGGTACAATGTGTGAAGCCCATTTCTGGTGTCCTCCGCCGTGATATTGCTGGAATATTGCTAAAAGCGGCATAAAACCATCCTCACTCACTCACTCTGCTGATCACTCAAAACATATTATGTAACCAGTGCCCCGTTTCTCAAAGTTATTGTAGTGCTATGACTGTCATACCTCCTATACTGTAACATAGACTTACACCAGTCGTAGCACTACAATAGTTTTGTGAAATGTCGCTCTGGTGTTCAAACATAATATCATCCTAGGAAGCAACAGAAATATATGTCAGATGCTAAATTAAGAAAATGTAAACGTGAGATAGTACAGCCACTATCCATGAGAAACCATTCCACACCTGCAGCAGTTGTTGTAAACAACACAGATAATGATGATCCACAAGGTCACTTGTCATGTTTATGTTTTTCTGAAGTTTGTGCAGCTGTAGGATTGAAGAGATTGTTTAACTCTTAATATGGTCGTAACATTTCTTCTTTGAGAGGAATACTGGTGACAAAATTAAGAACATATCACGGTAAAAGCATTTTGTCATTTGTTGCCAAACCTAACAGCAGGGGAATGTGAGTATAGAAGGACACTGAACAATTCCGTTTCACAACTGTGATGTCGTTCTCTTCCCACAGAGGTTACTTGTCATATCTTCCTTCGAACCTCTGTTCTAATACGGCCATATTTCCCAGTTCTCGTAAAATCCCCTAGCGGCAAAAAATCGCAACACAAATTACCGCCCTTCTTTCTATCCAATCTGAACACGTGTTACATCGACTTAGATCCAACTTGACTAATACAATCAAATGTGGGTCCACAAATATCCCTCCTCTGCTGGGGACTTGTGTTGATGTGACTCAAATAGAGAATCTCACCCAAGTGTCGTTGGCAATGTCTCGGCAAGCCTCGGATATTTGTAACTTTATCAACTCGTGTTGATATAATTGATATCAGAAGACCACGAGGTCGAGATTCTATTTATCATCAAAATCACTCTTCATTAATTTTCAATGAAAAATGTACATCTCTGAACATGGTACTGCCATTAGACTTGCAGTGCAGTGATGTCATAGCCTTGGTTGACGTCATCAAGTACATGACGTCATAGCATTGTCAGGGCATTGTACAAAATCTACTGTCAAATCGATATCTCCTAGGAGATATCGTTTGATCTCACACAAGTGATATCTCCTGTGGAACACAGTTTTGGATGATAAAAGACATTTAGTGGCTAGCTTGTCCGTTGTCAACGAGGGCGATGGAGATGCCATTGATCCGGCATTACATGACTAAGTTCTGTCTAGAAGAAACGTTTGTGCACCGCGCAGGGGAAGAGGTTCTAGTTTTCCCGAAGCATACGACAATTACCGAGGCCTTGCGAATGATCACTTTTGATACAACGTCGCTGATTGCACAACTAAATCTGATTGCAACCAATCACGACTCCTGATCACTCGCACCACAAAAGGGCCGTATTAGAACAGAGGTTCGTAGTAAGATATGACAAGTAACCTCTGTGGGAAGAGAATGCTGTGATGTATACTACTCAAAAAAAGAAAAGAAAAAGGTTAACTGAGTGTGGCGTTAAATAACAATACAAACAGGCAAATAACCAGAAAGGTTACAGAAAACTTGATGTTACTATAGTGATCATGTCATGGCAGGTATTTCTGGTGTTCCTTAACTTGTTGTAAGTAGTATATCTAGTACCTTCAAAGACTGTTAACAAATACAGCACATATGATATCAACTGAATTCCTCAGCTGTAGCAACACCAGGTGTTCACGTCTGAGTGAGCAGGGGTTGTCTTTCAGGTTTGAATTGGTGGAGGGAAAGGTGAGGAGGGCATTTGCTCTGTGTGAAAACTGGGAATATATTTTCATGTTCAGTTTTAATCACAGGTTGATCCATATTTGAATAAATTGGTCAACTCAGGTGTGTTCAGGGGACCACCATTTGGGAACTTAATTTATCCTGAGGGGAACAATTGACACAAGATGTTCAGAATTCCATGTTCAGCCAGTTCTATTATAGATACTGGATCAGAATCCATCTGAAGTTTGGAATGGCTGTAGATTCAGTGAGTGCCACCTAGAACACCCCAACTTCCTATAGACATCACCAAGAAACATGACATCACCAAACCAAAGTATGACATCAGCAAATAAAATATGGAGAAAATTGCTGGAAATTAGGACGTTTTGCAAAATATATTCATAAATATATCAAAGCAATGAATAATATCAGTGTTAAACCTGTGTTATCTTTATTTCACTGAAGACAGGTGAGAAAGTAGGCACTAAACTATACCTCATTATAACTTGTTTACAGTGGGTTTCCATTGCGTTGGCAAGTTTATAAACAAACATTCCTGCTTCATTTTCAAAGACTGGCATAATACAATTTTTATTCCTAATATATGATAATAATGATACGGAAATAATCTCATTTGTGATATCATAAGTAGAGCTGTGACGATATATCGTAGTATCGATAATCGTGCTACTTTTTTCTGACAATAAATAAATCGATACTTTTTTCCGTATCGTGATATGTAGCGTTGTCCTTAAAATTGTGAATTTTCACCAGAAATTGACGGTTATGTTAAAATTTACACTGTTTCTTGATATCAAAATACACTTTTTTAAAGAAAATAACTAAAGATAGCATATCGTGATATGCATCGTATCAAATTGTATCGTTCCATGATATCGCAATAGGTATCTTATGGTGAAATTTCTGTATCGTCATGCCTATAATCATAAGTTAACATGATTTGTGATATCATAAATTAACATGATTTGTGATATCATAAATAATTTTTTTTTGGTGATATCATAAATTAACAAGATTTGTGATATCATAAATTAACATGATGGGCCTAGTTACATTCTCTACTGTGCCCGGATCAGATTGTCTTGTGTTCAATTTTCAGATCTAGCACATAATGACGTTAAGTTGTTTGCATCATAGCAATGTATGATTTTGACAAAGCAGTTAAATTTGCTGATGTCATTTTAGGCTTTCTCCCCAAATTAACTGAATATTGTCATTGACATCATGTTTAAATCAGCTACAACCCCACACACCAAGTCGCGGATCGTGAGTTACAAATGGCTAGTATATGCTTCCGTAGATCGGTGTGGTTTAGAGATAACTGTGATACATGTTGTAGCTTATGCCCACATTCTCAGGATCTAGCGATAATGTGGATGTTTAATCTCACTATCGACAATGTCGGTCATCATGTACGGGTGTTATCTGTACGAGACAATCACATGCTGTGCTCTAATCTTCTTTCCCATGATGCATTTTTCCCAGGGTGCAGTTTGTAGTCCCTCTGTTTACATGTTCATGCTTATGTATGTAGGAAAAGGTTCAACCCACTGGTGATCGTAATGTTCAGTTTGTAATGTTCAGCATGTTGCAATGTCGGCAAACAATTATATGATTTGCGGTTCTGATAAGCCCAGTTTTATTTTTCTATTGTATACTGATTATCTGCTGACCAGTAATCTTCAATATTTCATTATCATGACACAGTGAATGTTTGTGTATAACTCCATTTGATTCTCGTGTGTTTGGCATAACAGTATTTAAAGCAGTCAGTTTAGTGGGGGAAACTTTATGACAAAATTGGTAATCAGTTCATGTTTTACAACTTATATGTAACAAAAACCATGTATTTAAGAAATACTGTTGTATAGTATTTATGATAATATGAATTTGTCACAATGGCTGTGGAAAACCTATGTTAAAATATTGATATATCAAACATGATTTGTTGAGATGACCAGTACAGCAGATGGACATGCACTTATACTCCCGCACATGTATTTACTATCATGCATGAACATACACATGCATGCACACATGAACAGACATAGATGCACATGCACAAACACAGACATGCATGAACATGTGTGCACATGCACACACACTCAGACACACAGACACACAGGTATTCACGTTAATTACAGTAAGATTTTATCAGAGTTTATACACCTTCGCAGGGTGTATGCTCATGAAGGCCTAATGACAGAAATCTGTCCGGACAAAAATCCAAAATGAGTTCCAGAACTTCCCCATAATATGTCGGTTATAAGCATGCTGAAACACAGTGTTCTCTGTTGCAGGAGGTGGTGTATGTGCCAAATGTTAGCAGGTAAGAAAACCTTTATTGATAAGGTTACATTCATGTGTTAAATGTATGTTCATAAATGGTTTTGTTCTGCATATATTTCTGGTACTTTCATTATAGTAAGTTGTCATTCTTGGTATTTAGAATTAACCCATTTGCAATGTAAAATTTGATTTGTAGAATTAGACTGATTTTATTCCAAACTTTGTAAAACTACATTTTAACTTGACATGTGTAGGTTAAAATTCATTACTGATGTTTTCAAAATTAATAACCAGGAACCCAATTCATGAGGCTATTGGCAACATTTAACCCTGTGTGTCAAAAGTAATGACAAAATCAAAGATTCGGTCAGGCCCCTAGGTGCATGGATCCATGCTGATGTCAATCACATGATTGTTTGGTCTAGATTCAAATGCTTACAGACAGCTGTCATAATGCTGAAATATGAACTGAATGCTGTTTTGAAACAACAAAATATGTTTTTTTCCTCAATTTCCTGTGACTGTCCTCCCACTTCTCCCAATGGTATTTGTTACCGCAGTAGTAGGTTGACATCCAGTAGTGGTGCAAGTACTAGCGAGCGGATCGGTCTGGGGACAACGGTAGCAGCACATGTAGCTCACACACAGGAAACAGTCCGGTTAAAGGACCCACATGGGGTAAGTATTCTACACTAGACCTAGCAGTAGCTCACTGGCAAATATCACTGGAATTCGTGAATAAAAGTGTTTAATTTCTGTTTCTATGTTCCTGATGCAAGCATGAAATATATCACTTCTGTATGTCGCAGCAGTCATCATTCATCAAATGACAGTATTTACATTCTGTTGGTGACACGTGACAGTGGAGGAAGAGTTGCTTCCCTTCCATTGAGAAATAGATTTATTCTTTAGTGTTGTCAGTAATTTTATTTTTAGGCCAGACCAATTTTATTTCTTGTTTTACGGATCCGCCGGTCTTATTTTTTCAGGAATAAGAAAAAATAAATAAATTAATTTTCCCTGCTCAAAAAACAAAATCCTAATGTTTTTTTGGGCCAATTATGTAAACTTACAAAAAGAAAATTGGGTGATTGTTTTCTGCCCCATATACATTTCATAAATTGCCAAAAGTAAAACACTTTTAGTATTTAAAAGTAATATTACTTTGACTGGTGATTTTTTTTGATTTTTTTTTTCCTCCTGCCTTTTGGTTTTCTGAGGACAAAAATCAGTAAAACAAGAAATAAAATTGGTCTGGCCTTAAGTATATTTTTTGACAATGAGTGAAAATTCATTGACCAGATACATTGCATAACGAAAAGATTTGGTCTTGTTTAAAACAAAATGCCACACGTGGATACTTCTTAAACATAACCTTCATCAAGTTACAAGTCAGACTATTTTCCATACTCTTCAGATGTTCATACTGGTTTTGAAGGTTTGGGTTTTAAACTATATATTCTTGTACTGTGTTTCAGGATGGTCGGTTCCCCGAGGGGCTGGGACACTGCAATATTAAGGCTCACTCTGTCCTAGCCCTACCACTGCAGGACGGTAGAGGGTCTTTATTAGGTAACACTATATCACTGTGATGTTATCATCAGCTGATGTGGTAATCACTACACTGACCCGTGAAGATCTGGGTTAGAATTGATCTTCAGTAACCCATGCTTGTCATATGAGGCGACTAATGGGATCGGGTGGTCAGTCTCGCTGACTTGTTTGACACATGTCATCGGTTCCCAAATGTGAAGATCGATCTCATGCTGGAATGTCTGGTCCAGACTTGATTATATACAGACCGCCGCCATATTGCTGGAATATTGCTGAGTGCGGCATAAAACTTATAACTCACTTACTACACTTAAAACAGTATCGCATTGCATCTATCCACATCTAGAGCCTGTGGGCTTGAAGAGTATTTTAAAAGTAAATTTTCAGTCATGAAATTACAGAGACATTTTAAGTTTACAGTTTGCAAATCCCTATTCGTCTTTTTTAAAGAAAATTTTGGGGTAGTTGTCTTTTCTTTCCAGCAGAGACCCATGAAGATCCGGGGTAGAATAGGTCTTCAGCAACCCATGCTTGCCACAAAAGGCGACTATGCTTGTCGTAAGAGGCAACTAACGGGATCGGGTGGTCAGGCTCGCTGACTTGGTTGACACATGTCATCTGTTCCCATTTGTGCAGATCGATGCTCATGCTGTTGATCACTGGATTGTCTGGTCCAGACTCGATTATTTACAGACCACCGCCATATAGCTAGAATATTGCTGAGTGCGGCGTAAAACTAAACTCACTCTTTCTAACAGATATGTTATATTTACCTTGAGTGACTGTATAACAAGGGATTGGTTTGAGATATTTATAGGGTGCTTCGTTCACTGTCCCAGTCTGAGTGAGTGAGGTAGCCTTGTGGTTAAAGCATTTGCTTATCACTCTGAAGGCCTCCACTTCATTTCCCACATGCGTACAATCTGTGAGGTGTTTTTGTGGTGTACCCAATGCTGTAATATTGATGGAATATTAATCAAAATGGCTTAAAATCACACACTCACTAAATAGTTTTACTCAAGAGACTGACCATGGCACAGATTACTGTGAGATGGTGTTTATGATACCAGTTTCATTGGTGTACACAAAACTTTTTTATTCTGAACAAATTTGAGTGAGTAAACGAGAGAATGAGTTTAGTTTTACACCCCTTTTAGCAATATTCCAGCAATATCACGGTGGGGGACACCAGAAATGGGCTTCACATATTGTACCCATGTGGGGAATCGAACCAGGGTTTTCAAAGTGAAGAGCGAACGCTTTAACCACTAGGCTACCCCACCACCCTGAACAAATTTGTATGAGATCACCTCCAAAATTACCAACATTAATTTTCCAATCCCTGACATCTTTGTCTCATTTAGTTTATCAAGCAAAGCAATATGAAAAATCTTTGTCTGTTTCAGGTGTAGTAGAATTTTACAGAAACTATAAATATTCATCATTTACAGAAGAAGAAGAAGAGGTAAGACATTTTGTAACAAATTAATGTTTACCTTCTAAAATGGAATTTTTTTCAAAATTGTTGGATTTATTAATACAGTTAAGTGGAAAAATCTCAAATCACGTTAAAATTCATATTTACACACCCACTGATATCCCAATATCATTTTTTATTAACTGGACCTTGTTAGGTCCCCTGTGTCTGAGTAATGATCAAAATGAGATTGTTAATTTACATGTTGCATGTTGTCATTTATGACTGTAGAGAGGTCAAACTTTGCCTTGACTCGGTGCTCAATGGCTAGCCGATGTATATACTCTGCGAGATATGTCATTGATGACTTCTATGGAAGGTTGAAATACTCAGGCACACATTGATGTTATGTGAATAATAATATTCATGTTGTAGGTGTCAATCCTTCTTCTAATGTGGGCAGATATGCTAGTAGATTATGTTGAGGTAAACCTATCATCCAAATCCTGAACCAAGCTTACATATTACCATCTTCGCCTCACTCTGACCCTAGACATCAGACCTACCAGCATCTGCAGTAACTTATGAAGCAGTTAACACTGAGTCAGCTCAGATTATAAGAAAATACTTATTCTCTATCTCTCTCTCAGGATCTGACAAACTCTTGATAGAATATTACTGCTTTTGAATCCTGGGTGAACATAGACCCCACTCCCCTTGCGTACTCAGCAACAAAAGTAAGGACCACCCAAATATTCTATATTTAAGCATTATATGGATCATAATATAAACTATTAAATACTTTAATATTGAAAATTGGGGGGTCCTTAACGTTTTTTTGTTGAGTATAATATCAGACCCATAAGTTGTCAAATTTCTCAATGGCATTAATTCAGCATCTTTACAGGAGAAAAGTAAAAAGAAAAACACCAAAAAGCATATTAAATCTGAACTTATGCTTATCAAATTATATTGATTCTGAATATAGTTCTGCAGGATACACTCTGTTTATGTGTAAATGTTTCCTGTGTGAAAATTTGTTAAAAAAATAATTTGGTGGGAAGGTTACAGACACCCCATGGAACCCATAGCTTCTATGGGCCGGGTTTTTCAAATATTTAGGCATCACAGGACATCACTAACAAACAGTTAAGTTAACCTTGGGAAGGAAAATGAAACCACATGGGAATTTTTTCAACAACAAATAGAAATTCTATCTAAGATTTGAAAAGCAAGACTGCCAAATATAATAATATGATGCAAGAAATCTAGGGTGCGGGGTCATTTTTGTTTTCCATTCAGAACTGCCCAATTCATTTCATATGTTTAACATTCCAAGTAGAGCTGTGACGATACATCGTAGTATCGATGATCGTGATACTTTATCTGACGATAAATATATCGATACTTTTGTTCATATCGTGATATGTATCGTTGACCTTAACATTGTTAATGTTCACTAGAAATTGACGGTTATGTAAACGTTTACACTGTTACTTGCTATCAAAATATACTTTTTAAAAGAAAATAACTAAAGATAGCATATCGTGATGTGCATCGAATCGAATCGTATCTTTCCAAGATATCACGATACATATAGTATCGTGACATTTCCGTATCGTCACACCTCTAATTCCAAGTACTTTGCTTGTTCATCTCACCTCTCAATTTAGGGATTGTCAGATCTAGACCGAGAGAATCAAATCTCATGTAAGAGAGATGTTGACAAGATTGGACAACTGAAACTTCAATACAACTAATATTTCAATAGACTTGAGTTTACCCATTTGGATATTTTTCTTAGAAAGTCAGTAATAATGCAGTTTGAGGTCATTAAAAACATCATAGAGACCTTTGATTTATTTTGCATTATTTTTGATTTAATGATATAGTTTAGTGACTGAAGAAAAGAGTAAAAAGTAAATGTTTGTGTAGTCAGAAGGATATAATGTATTTGCTGGGTCTGAAGTATATACCAGCTGAGGGGTGGTTTGTAAATGTAGACTCCTGAGTAACCCATCCAGACAGCTAACACCCCAGTGCCTTACCCCCCCTTCAGCTTCTATAGACTTTATATCTTACTGTAGTGTTTCACAGGTGTAGGCCTTACAAGCTTATCTTGGCATATATACTATTATCTAGTTTCTAGCTAGACTTTTTCTGTAGAGGATAGTGTTACTAGTTTTAACACAATTGTAACAATGCTTACTGACTGAAATGGATACTATAAAAGCATGAATGAGTGAAATGGATACTATAAAAGCATCGGCAATACTATAAAAGCATGAATGTGTGCATTATCTACATTAATTAATTATTGTATACTTGTTTTTAATATCATCATGAAATTGAATTTCTTATAGGACAGATACATGTTGTAACTTTAAGCAATAACACAACAATATCTTTTCTCGTATTTATGTGGACCAGTCGCAAAATGCATTTGCCTCCCTTAGTTAAGCCAGGATCTGTTGGTGGCGGGTTCCACTCTCAGGTTCTCATTGATTATGATGTGTCTGGTTTGTATCATCTGTCACCAAGGCCCAATGTCAAACTTCACTAAGGACACGTTCATTCTGTTAAACCCAGTTTGACCCAGTTTGGTAGGAATACTGTCTATATAACTTTTCATTTTAATACAATAAACAGAATTCCATGACAACCTTATCAGATGCTGCAGATTATGTTATTCCAGATTTCATTCAGAACCTAATTCAGCATCGTGAATTAAGTTAAATATTAAAGTGAATATCAATGTTACAGCATATATTTTACAATTTTAGACTTTCTTTTTGTATTTTTATATATGACACCTACCATTAATCTTGAAGTTTCTCTATGGTGGAGTCCATAGTGTTAGTGTTTCGCTGGCAGATACAAGGGAGGGATGTGCTCCATCACCCTCTTTTTCCAGACATCTTGCAAGTAATCTACCCCTCAACCAAGTCACTTAGTTGACCTATATATTTTGTGATTGGCCCATTTTGAAATTCCTGGCTCCGCCTCTGGGAGTTGGTGACGTCCTGCTCTGCCTCCTCCTCTCCCTCAGTCTGTGCCTGAGATTATAGCATCACCTGTATCTGTTTATACAGGGAGCTGAGAGAATACTAGCTTGGGGTGGACTGGTTTTGTTTTATGCAGAGGTATCCCAAAGAGAGTATCTGTACTTGTGCATGCCTTTGTGAATTCACAGCAACCAGTGGCCAATGTTGATTCATCATTTGCAGATATATATTTCACCTTTGCATCTACAGTAGGTTTTATGGTTTGATATGTATAGGTTACATGTTTGAAAAAGGTCCTCAGTAAACTATTAAATGTCAGTGCCAAAAAACAATCAGTTCAGATTATCTGCTGAAAAGGATTCCATTGATTATAATTGTCGCCTGTGTTATAAGCTAATTTCTTCTTACAAAGATGTTCAAACTTCAGAATTTCTTTTTTTTCAAATTCTGTGTTGAAGAAATTTGTAACTGTGACAATGATGATCAGCATTGACCTTCTCTGTCCGTGAACGTCATACACTTTACATTTACTATATGATTTTAAAGTTAGATATTTGTTGTGCAAATTCTTTTATTTCATTTTACAAATTTGTGATTGTGATGTGCTTTTTCTGTACTTGATGTTATAATCTCTGATGATTGTACTACTCCAGTATGTTGTAAACTCTCATGGTAATGCATGGTCATCTAGGTTTATCATTAAGTATCTCACTGTCTATTTTCTAACACACCTCAGTTTGTGTTGTAATGCCTTGATGCTTCTTAACATCATTTTTGTGGTCTTTCTTTCACTAACATTTGTAAAGTAATGCATTTCTTTCAGAGAACTTATTTCAAGTCACAATATTCAACCAGAGGAATATTTTTAGCAACATTTTAACGGTTCAGTTGAATCAGTAATATGTTTCATGACCTTGTTATAAATGACTTCAAAGATTAATTAATTGATCTGATGAATGTAAACATAAAGATTGCCTTAACAGCTGATGACTGATCTTATGAACATGTTTTCCTCATGTGACGAATGTAGTAATGTCTTAGTGATGTATTTGTTTCTTCCAGGTTCATAGCAGTATGTTAAAACAGAGAAAACTCAATGAGTTTTTATTAACAGTCACAAAGTAAGTTCAACACCATCATATACTCACGGTCTGTCCACAGGCCAAGGGGGATAACTGTTTCAATTTCCTTTGAAGAGTTGTGTCCCTTCATCATGCCAGTACGTTTAGACTGGGATTCAATCAATCTATTCAGTATCATGCGTTGGGCCCATGTACAATAGTGTTGTTAAAAATAAACATTTATATCTGAGTATATACTTATCTTGATTGGGTGTAAATCCAGTTGTTGGCCCAAATACGATCTCAACCACCATTGTTTTGTGTACCATGTTTACTTTTCACATGTGTATTTAAACAAAATCACTCACTCATTCTAACATGTGCTAAATTCAGGTTTTAGGAGAATAAATACAATGAGGAAACTCACACAGGTTTTAATGACGTCAGAAATAATTTTTATTTGTCAGTTGAAGATAACTGAGTTTCTGGTTGTCCTAATGTTGAATATGTAAACAGACATTGTGGATTTCTACAGGTCAGTTTTTCAAGACATCATCAGTATGGATACTGTCATCATGAAGATAATGGTATGTTGACACCGTTACGTGTTTGTGTTTTTTTATGATAATTCCTTACCCATGAAGATCTGGCTAGAACTGGTCTTCAGCTACCCATGCTTGTCATAAGAAACGACTAATCGGGTGATCAGGCTTGCTGACTTGGTAGATGCATATAATCATGTGAAAACTGAGTAGATTTCTGCTCATGATGTCAATGAATTGTCTGATCCTGAGCCCCGTTTCATAAAGTTATCGTAGCGCTACGACCGTAGTAAGTCTATGTTACAGTATAAGAGGTATAGCCCTGCAATAGCCATGTGAAACGGGGCCCAGGCTCAGTTATTTACAGACTGCCATCATATAGCTGGAATATTACTGAATGTGCTGTTATATAACAAACAAACAAACAAACAAACAAACATATTTAGAGGTTGTCTCATTCCAATTATAACAGGTACAACTGATGCATAACTACTACTCTTTGAATTAATTAAATAATGTGATTGTCACAGTGATTGAAACTGATAATTAGAATTATTTTGAATGTGATTAGATGCTCACTTTGATCTAAGGTCTTGGTGTGTATATTTTGTGTTTAATCAGCTTATAATCCTGGGGATAAATCAATCTGAATCTGTCCATCATTGCTTAAAGTGCATGGATCATTTGATAACAGTTCATTACCTTCATGCTATTGCTATCTGATATGGAAAATTAAGGACACCTCAGGTGAACTTCTTGTCAATCAAATCCCAATCCAGGCTTCAAAATCCTAGGCATCAGTTAGCCAAGCATTAGTGATATTTTGTATCTCAAAAAACTTTTCTACCGGCAAGTGGTCCTCCCTCGTAAGAAATAGCGAAAAGTTACAACAAAATAATGATCGTGTGTTGAACATCTTTATTATTCGGGAGACCAAAATTATGAGACAAATCATGAGAGTTGGTCTGTCAATTTCATGTGAATGTGCAAAGTTTGATTTTGTTGCATTTATTAGATTTTGTGTTAGTGAGCAATTCATTGGTCTCAAATGAAGTCAAACAGACTATAGATATTTCTAAATGTTGCTAAATCAACATTAATGCACTCACTAAGATTGTTATGATAAACTTTTGTTATAAAATGAGAAAGTATGGGACATAATTGTCAGCTTTCGAATGAATTAGTATTCTTTAGGATATATCATAATTTAAAACAGTAAAACTCCATGATGGAAGGTGAGCTGCAGAACCTATTGGTTGTAGAGATATTCACTGATACATATGAGACATTTGTACCCTTTGTTTTTTTATTTGCTGATGTTATAACCCTTCAGGAAACATTTATATCTGCTCATGTAGATTTCAGTGTCTTCTGGAAGTAGCATCCAATAATCTTCCTATTGGTTCGCTTTATAACGTTACTCCATGTAGAGATGTGTAGCAATGCTTTGATTATTGTACCATTGTCCTGGCAGTATCCAGTTTACCCAGTCCTTAGTTACACAAAGGTTAGACTTCAGAGTAGAAGCTGGCTTTTATTTACCAAATAGTTTCACCATTTTGTTTTTCATCACTTGTGTTTGTACCAGAATGATTACAGTGTCTCTATTAGCCATGGCCCCGTTTCAAAAGCTATCATAGTGCTACAACTGTCGTAAGTCTATGTTACAGTAAAGGAGGCATAACAGTCGAAGCGCTGCGATAGCTTTTTGAAACGGGGCCCATATCCCTTGACTAGTGGTGGTCACTGCATTAGGAGTTGTTGATGATGAAAACATCAATACAATATAACCCTGTTAATCGGGGAACTGTTGATAATACAGACAAACTTTATAGATGAAGGTGAGCTACAATCCCATAGTACTGGAAATAAATAAGCATATATAGCTGATAGGAATGATCAAACTTTGATCATGACATTCTTGTCCTTAGTTCTGTTTTTACAATTACCTAGTCTAATCAAATTATTATTTTGTGGTACAATCACAACTTTAGTATGTTAGACACTACTGCTAGGGTTGACTGATAAGTTCTGAGCCCCACATAGAAAGACGTGCATAACATGGAAATCTTTTGGTGTGGACGTGATATGATGTCATGAAGGATTGTACAGAATAACTTGAGTCATTTGAGCATATTGTTAACTGTGTGACAAGTTGGTAAAATAAGCAGTGGAGGAAATCAGAAAATGGAGGATGCAGTAGTACTTGCAGAAAAGAGCTGTACGTCAAAAGTACTTCATGAAGATGATGAATACAATGTTTGGGAAGGAAAAGAAGATATCAGCAGGCTGGAAGGCCTGTCACATCAGCAACACCCAAACAATCTACTGTCTAATGGCAAATGACTGACTGCCATAGTACTAGTTCCACCGGCATTTCACAGGGGAGTTCTAAGATGCCGAGTGTGTGTTCATTGTGGACTACCCTCCAGAGGAGCATACTTCACAGTTAATGAAGCATATTATGCTGCACTTTTGAGGTAATTATGGGATGAATTAAGACTGAAAGACATGGGAACTTGAGAACAGTTGTGCTCTCTCTCAGAAAACATGCCAGTGCACCAATCAGTCTTTGTGTAGCCACTATCCCTGAGTGTGACCTTGAGGTCCTTCTGCAGCATCAAATTTCTCTGATCTGGCTCCATCAAACTTCTGTCTGTATCTAACCATAAAAAAGACACTGTGACATCATGGCAGTTTTTCTGATATCTCAAAATGCCAATGGAACTAAAAAATCATTGGCAAAAGCGTAGAAAGAGATTATTGATTATGATGAAAAGTTTTTCTATATGAGGCTCAGAACTTGATCAGAAAACCCTGGTAGGTTTGCTTTATTTTCTCACCCAGTAGAATTCCCAATTCTGTTCCGTTGTCACAGAATTTTGCACAAAAGTTGGTGAATGCGGATCGAGCTTCACTGTTCCTATTGGATCATCATCGGCAGGAGTTATTTGCACGTATTTTTGACGTCGGGAGCACTATGGGTGTTCCCTCAACTGACAGTAGTCAGCAGAAAGAAATCAGGTTAGAGTGACTGGGATAGCCCCGTGTATCAGTAGAAATCTGGAACTTCAACATCTTGTGGTAAAATTCCGTCTTTTGTGTTGAAAGACAGATCAGTTTGTTTGTTAACAGATAGATATTACCTCTGAAAGCTATCAAAGTACTGACTTATATATTTGATTATTTGGGGATTTTCATACAAAAAATTCCAGATGAGATTTGTGCCAAAATATATAAAATACCATTGTAATCAACATGCTTTTTCTGGGGTACTTTGGAATTCACAGGTCTACAGCTGTCATTAAGTTCATTCTTTACTATTATAAGTAAGGGACATACAATTTAATATTCTTTGGGTGCCGCCATAGTTTATATCAGCAAAATATTTCTGTCCAGAAAATGCTTCAAACTGTCGGAAAAATATTTATCAGAAAAATGCCTAGTCTGCATATGAAATGTCAGGAACACTCCCTACCTGGTTACTCCGTAGACAACTGTGTCCTTACTGTGTTAGAAGCCTAGTGTGGAAATCTGTAAAACAATAAATTAAACTCAGGTCTGGCCTAACACCCAGAACTTTGAGCTACATGTCAGGTTTAGCCTGGTCTGTTGCCACTGTACAGAAATGTGAGAATACAAATCGCTAGTCTGTGTTCGGCATTTATAATGCATATTTTGTGATTGTTTTTATTTTCATTTTGTAGTTAAACTAATCCATTTTGCTTTATGCTTAAATTTGTGTTGTTACAATAGTCATACAATGCCATTTGGTGCTTTGACTGAGTCCTAAAGATATTAAAGTCCCAGAGCTCTACTGACAAGTTTCATTTGCGCAAATATTTACTTTCTTAAATTAATGTGAATTAATAGATATTTTATAAAATGCATATTTTTATGCTTTTGATTCTGAAACTTATTGATATATTGTTCCATATAAATATTTCAGAATTATTATATCATTTGTGCAAATGATATCAGCTTCATATGTTTGCATTTACACTAGTCAAACCCAGTAACCCATGCTTCAGTCAAATTGAACATGCTTGTGTAGACTTGAACTTGATGATTGTGCTAGATGGTGCTGTCCTTAGCCATTTATATCTACTGTACCCTTAAACCCTAGTCACTGTACAACCATTAGTACCACAGTAATTGTAATTTGTCTAGTCTGCTTGTTGTTGTGCCCAGAAATGATACTTCCTGCTTCCTTTGATCACGTTCATCTGTCTATAGCTTTTCATTTTAGTTGTTTCTGTCAGTTTCAAGTTCAATAACATAAGTTTGGGTAACTTTTCCTCTGGCAGAATTTTGCAAAAACTCTTGTGCATGCCGATCGAGCATCATTATTTATGCTCGACTCCCGCACCAAGGAACTCTTCTCCCGAATATTTGATACAGGGAAGTGTGAAGAAAATGTACCACAGAGAGAAATAAGGTTGGATCTTTACTGAAATCATCATTATCTTATCTGTAGTAGTGAAATGTTTAGTTTGAGCACAGATCTTTAATAAAATCATCATTATTTTATCTGCAGTAGTGAAATGTTTAGTTTGAACACAGATCTTTACTGAAATTATCATATCTTATCTGTAGTAGTGAAATGTTTAGTTTGAACACAAACTTTTACTGAAAATGTCACTATCTTATCTAAGTAGTGAAATTATTTGTTTGAACATGTAGGAAATAAATTACTTTTCAGACACAGTGACATAAAAAATCCATTTGCCATATTCTCTGGTATGTCTGATAGGACTGTGATCTCCAAACGAGGAAAACATTTAAAAAATGAGTTTTACTCTAGATTCTTTATATATGCTTGCTGTCTCACGTGACCTTTCTTTGAGATTTTCTCTCTCAATATGTTTATCCAAAACTCACTAGGACATGAATGAAATATTTTCTTCTGAAGGAAAAATGGCTGAATGTGTATACTGTGGCATGTACATGTATAGTGAGTGAGTGATGCTGCTGCACTGGGCCCGTTTCACAAAGCTATCGTAGCACTACGACTGTCTTAAGTCTATGTTACAGTGTAGGAGGTACAACAGCTACATTATGAGGTCGTAGCGCTGTGATAGCTTTCTGAAACGGGGCCCTGGCCTCTAATATTATACATCATATAATAATTATTTCAGGTCTCTAAATGTAAAAATGTTCTGAGTACAAATAGGTTATTTTTATGTAAAACAGGAAAAATGAAGTAGTGAAAGTTGGAATGATTTCCCTTATGCCAATGTTCTCATTAACCAATTTCTCCAATTACAACAGTTCACTGTTAAGATTTGTCTCCCATTTTATACAAGGATCTGCTTCATCAGGATCAAATCCCTCTTGAATATTGGTCACCCATACTGATGAGATGTCATTTTGGGCTTCCCCTCATGATGAATAGCAGACTTGATAGTGTTCAAGGAATTGTTACACACATCTTGACAGGTCAAACTTTTGCAGAAGGAATAAGCTGTAGAAACTATCTTAAAGCAGCACCAAAAACATTATGTCAGACTAGGTTTGCTCACTGATTGCTCTAGATGGACCAGTCATCAAAGCTGCTCCAATTTACTGTGTGTAGAGTTGCACCCCTTGTGTAGGACAGGATTCGATGATCATGGAAGCCCAAATTAGTCTGGACATAGATCTGTCTGTATCATATGTTTGTGGATTTCATCTAAGTAGTAAATGTCTTAAGAACTGCATTACTCTAGCCTTTCATCCTTTTCAAGAAAAAATGCTTGCCCAATATAATGCTTGTTCTGACAGTGTACACGTTTTTTTATCTGCTATCTATTACTGCATGTAGATTCCCCATGGACAAGGGCGTGGCTGGCCACGTTGCCACCACTGGGGAGGTTCTCAATATCCAGGATGCCTATGGCGACATCCGATTTAACCGGGATGTGGACCTTCAGACTGGCTACAGGACCAAGAGCATACTGTGTATGCCCATTTACATCAGGGGGAAGTGAGTGTTTACACATCAGTACCACACAACTGTAGGAGACAGGGCATTAACCATCTTTTTTTGAATCCTTACAGATATTCCAGTTTGAATATAAGATCATGATGAGTATCTGGATGGCAACTTAATGCCTGTATAATAACTTGTATACCTAAAGCTAACAGAGACAAAACACTTTTGAAAAATTGGAGACCTACATGCTAATCAAACAGGCTATATTCCAGGTAGAACTCTTAGTGAAAACATAAGATTACTTTATGATATGTTTGAAACTAAAAATAAGAAATATGCCAGGACTAATTCTCCTAATAGATTTTGAGAAGGCGTTTGATACAGTATCCAAAGAGTTCTTGAATATTGTTTTATCACTCATTGGATAAATATACTGACACATGAAACAACATCCTGTGTCATCCAACATGGTAAACTCTCTGATTTTTTGGTAAATGAACGCGGAAGGAGACCCCCTGTCACCGTATCTCTTTATTTGTGTCGCTGAAATACTTGGTTGTATGATTAGAAGTAATGAGAACGTAAAAGGTATTGTTATTGACAATAATGAATATAAATTAAACCAATATGCAAATGATACGGAACTATTTCTTGATGGGAATGAACAAAGCTTAAAGGCTGCTATTGATGTAATTAGTTATTTTTTTAAATTGGCAGGACTTAAAATAAACATTAATAAGGCAAAAGCAATATGGAATGACTCAAAGAGAAATAGTACGGATATACTATGTAAAGACATTAAAATAGAATGGCAAAAGGGTGTGTTTGAAGTCTCGGGAATTAAATTCCACTTGTCACAGATTGGCAAAATCACTGTCATAATAACTTTGGCTTTGTCAAAACTTGTTTATGTATTCAATATTCTGCCTAATCCTCTAAAAGATTTCATTTCTTCATTGGAGAATATCTTTTTCAAATTCATATGGAATGACAAACCTGATAAAATTAAAAGGAACAATTTGAAAAGAGTATACAAAAATGGTGGATTAAGTATGGTTGACACTGCAACTTTCTGTGAAGCCTTGAAACTAGCTACCCTGAGATCATATTGTAGAAAAACAACAGTTGAAAATCCCTGTAATATTCCTTTTGATGTCATTTTAAAATCTAGTGCAAATGTTGGTTAAGTAACTCACATCGACAACCCTTATTGGAAGGATGTTTTGAAATCATGGAACAAATATTGTAAAAAAAGTCATGTGAGTTCTGGTAATATTTATGAAGTCCTAGCCAAACCACTATGGTTTAACCATAATTACAAGAACCCAACACATTACAATAAAAACTGGGCAGTAAAGGCATTCTTGCAATTAAGGATCTGTGTGAAAATCTGGTTTCTTATCCTTTGACTAGTTGAAGGAAATCAATCAATCAATCAAGTGTTTATTGTGTCACCCATAATACAGTACATTAAATATACATGAATATATACACATGCGTATCAAAGGAGTTCTCCTCGAATGCACACATTGTAAAGATATTTTACTAACATGAATTTATGATCATTGGAATTCATTAAGGATATTAACCCATTGATATTTCTACTGTGCTTGAAAATAAGAGGTACATCATCACGAAGAGTTTGATACATTGGACATTTATATGAAATATGTATTTCATCTTCCGTTACATTACATAAATCACATTTAGAATCAAAGCTTTCATAATCACAAAAACCTTTTCTAATACATTGTATTCCTAGCCTTGTAACAGCTTCTGAAGATGAACAGTGCTTTACGATATTTAATATTATTAAGGTCAAAGATGTACAATTCTGTAGTAAGTGATGACTTAATAATGGAATAAAACCGTAACGAGGTTTTGTTTGTAAGTTGTGCATGCCAGTCTTGCTTGGCACAATCAATTAATCTTTCCTTAAATAGCTTTTAAAATAAATAAATATTACCTACTCCCTGCTGTATCCCAAAACCATAAGTGAATAATAGTTGCATAACATTTGATGCCCAATTTGCATATTTTCTATGACGCGTTTGTTTCAACATAAGATAAGATTGGTACAGGTATCTATATGATGGCATGGCATGAAGGAAATGTATGGCATTAAAGGCACATATCTGGACAATTTGCATGTTTTGAATATACTACCTGATACTTGGAAATATACTATTAGACACTCTAGGAAAATCACAGTTTTTGATTTACTCATAACTGAATGTCATTTGAATTTATTGAAATCATGCAAAGGCTCTAGAATTTTTTATGACGCCTTGATTTCTAATGAAGAGTTACTTAAAGCATCTTTTGCTAATGTACTTTTATGACTTACAGAAATGGTTTGAAAGATGTCAAACTACTTGATTTCTAATACAAGTTTTTACATGGTATTATCTATACTAAAAATGAACTATTTTAATGAAACTTCGACAATTCTGTGTGCTGTTTTTGTAATGAGCTGAATGAGAGTATTTGTCATGTTTATTGTGCATGTAGAGAAACACAAACATTCTGGAATGAACTTGAAGTTTGGATGAATAATCATATTGAGAACACAATCAAAATAACAAAATACCTTGTTTGGAACATTATACAGTGATAGACTATTAAATCATATTATCCTAACTGCCAAAAAATATATCCATTTATGTGGAATTAACCAACATACTCCAAAACTTCAAAGGTTCCTGGTTGTTTTGAGAGAAATTTTCAATGCGGAAAAGTTCATTGCAATTAAAAATAATAGCCTTCAAAATCATGACTCAAAATGGTGATCTATATTCCCAACTTAACAATAAACCTATACTTTATATTCGGTACATAATTTTGGACTCTGTGTGTCAAAACCCTAAAATGTGAATTTTTGTGTAATTTCGAATTCTGTCTTACAAACTCTCAAAAATATGAACTGGTGTGTAACGGTGCACCCTTGGGAACAATAAAAACATGAAGAAGAAAAAACATATTAATGCCTGTAGATAAATATCCTATATTTCTTCAATTAATTATAGATATATTCCACAGGTATTGAATTTGGTATCAAGATATGTCAAATTTAACACTTGAGCATTGAGTTATTGGTCAATAGTTCTCCAGCACTCCAGTATTCCAGTCATAAAATCCTGGAACAGGGGAGACTGATCATCATACTATCAACCACTGGTTTGTCTGGCTCAGACTTGGTTGCTCACAGTATGTTGTGATTCGCCTAGAATATTTCTGTCACTCTTTATAGCCTGATGGTGTATATACTCCAGATACTTTTGGAGTTCATGATCAGTATGTCTGAAATAAGCCATGTCCTGGTTTATCCAGTCCAGGTGAGTGATGTGTGGTGTACGTTTCAGCATCATCGAGTGGTTCAGATGGTCAACAAGATGAGTGGACCTTTCACCAGGGCAGACGAGGAAGCCTTTGAAACCTTTGCTATATACTGTGGACTGGCACTGCATCATGCAAATGAGAGTACAGTGTTGGTAACTTAGTGAAGTGGGATGCTGGGGGAAGAACGTTGAGAGGATGTCTGAAAACACTGGGAGTAAATGAATTAGGGCATTACCAAACAAAGTGAGAGTACAGTGTTGGTAAGGAAGTGTCTGTGAAAGAAAGAAAGAAAGGATTGGAAAGTGGAGAAAGAAGAGCAAGTGAAGGAATGTCTGTGAGTGGAAGTGGAGAAAGAGAGCAGAGCAGTGAAGGAAGTGAAGGAAGGATGAGGAAAGTGGAGAAAGTGGAGAGAGAAGAGCAAGTGAAGGAATGTCTGTGAAAGTGGAGAAAGAGAAGAGCAAGTGAAGGAATGTCTGTGAAAGTGGAGAAAAGAGAAGAGAGAAGAGCAAGTGAAGGAAGGAAGGAAGGGAAAGTGGAGAAAGAGCAATTGAAAAGGAAAGAGTGCAACTGAAGGAACTACACAATTGCCATACCTATGATTAACAATGCATCTGTATCTAGAATACCAAGTTGATACTTAAGTTAGAATTGAATTATATAGATATTATCATTATTATGGTTTCCTTTTAAAACAGAACAAAATGATATGTTTTTATTGGTAGATATTAGCTGCTCTACTCATGATAATAATCATGTTGATGTTCCTTTTCCAGCTGTATGAGAAGATTCGGCGTTCAGAACAGAAGTACAGGGTGGCACTGGAGGTGTTGTCCTACCATAGTCAGTGTTCAGAGGAGGAAATGAGGTCAATCCGCTCCAGAAAAGTACCTCATGATATGCATGCAATCACCAGGTGAACACAGAGCCTAGAAACACAATTTATTGCCCCTCAATCATAAGGTGAACACACAGCCTAGAAACACAATTTATTGCCCCTCAATCATAAGGTGAACACAGAGCCTAGAAACACAATTTATTGCCCCTCAACCACAAGGTGAACACACAGCCTAGAAACACAATTTATTGCCCCTCAATCATAAGGTGAACACACAGCCTAGAAACACAATTTATTGCCCCTCAATCATAAGGTGAACACAGAGCCTAGAAACACAATTTATTGCCCCTCAATCATAAGGTGAACACATAGCCTAGAAACACAATTTATTGCCCCTCAATCATAAGGTGAACACAGAGCCTAGAAACACAATTTATTGCCCCTCAACCACAAGGTGAACACAGAGCCTAGAAACACAATTTATTGCCCCTCAACCATAAGGTGAACACAGAGCCTAGAAACACAATTTATTGCCCCTCAACCACAAGGTGAACACAGAGCCTAGAAACACAATTTATTGCCCCTCAACCATAAAAGGTGAACACAGAGCCTAGAAACACAATTTATTGCCCCTCAATCACAAGGTGAACACAGAGCCTAGGAAACACAATTTATTGCCCCTCAATCATAAGGCGAACACAGAGCCTAGAAACACAATTAATATTGCCCCTCATTGGGATGGCTTCTACACACAGCATAGAAACACAATACTGGGGCACATTGGGATGGCTTCTACAACACATAGGAACTGATACTGTGGCACATTGCCCCTCACACCACAAGGTGAACACAGAGCCTAGAAACACATAATTAGAAAGAGAGCACATAGAAGGAAGGGTGGAAAATTGAGAGTGGAGCACATAGGAACTGATACTGTGGCACATTGGGATGGCTTCTACAACACATAGGAACTTATACTGGGGCACAATGAGATGGATACAGGGGCATATTGGGATGGATCCTACAGCACATTGATTACAGCTACTGTTACAAATGTTCCCAGTATTATCAATGACAACCAAGTCTTGTTTCAGTTACACCTATTCCCCATGGGGTGTTGACAATGATGAGAAGCGGTGTATGTTCTCTTCATGTTCAAGGATCTGTTTGGCACAATGAGGTAAGCACTCTAGGAAGATCCTGGTAGACTTTCAGCTGACATTTTGGAGACAGTAGTGTGTGTGACCTTTCTTAGTTAACGGATCTAATTGTTAGACTTGTGAAACTAGTCCTTGCAAACTCCTCCTTATATGAGTTCTATGTATCAATAAACAAACTGATGATGAAAATAGATAGGGAAACAGTTAGTCATGAGAGGGTTTTGTATAGTTTGCCCACATATATATTCATTGTAATTCGTTGTAAGTGGAGAGTTTTCATATGTACAATAATTGATGCATCATCTAGTGCACTAATGTATCATTTGCTTTACATAACAAACACAACACAAATTGACAGAACCAGATAGTCTCAGGTTGATAAAATGGCTAGAATTTTGCCGACATGATGTTTAATACTAATGTATTGTTTATCTCATTGCTGTTTCTTCTAGTTTGTGTGATCAATATATCCTGGAAGATACAGTCCCTTTGATTTCAATTTAAACTGATGAATTTCTCACTAACACAAAATCTAATAAATGCAACAAAAACAAATTTTGCAGTCACATGAAATCGATAGACCAACTTTGATGATTTGTCTCATAATTTTGGACACCCAAATAAAAAAGTTGTTTAACAAACGATCATTATTTTGTTCTCACTTTTCGCTATTGTTTACGAGGGGGGACCACTTGCTAGTAGAACAGACAGGTGTGCGAGTTGCACATGTGAAATTGAAATTTAACTACATGTACACACGCTTATTTGTTACCTGGCTGTTCTACCAGCAAGTGGTCCCCCCTCTTTAAAAATAGCGAAAGGTGACTACAAAATAATGATCGTTTGTTAAACAACTTGTTTTATTCAGGTGTCCAAAATTATGAGAGTTGGTCTGTTGATGTCATGTGACTGTGCAAAATTTGTTTTTGTTGCATTTATTAGATTTTGTGTAAGTGAGCAATTCATCGGTCTCAGATAAAATCAAACTGACTGTAGCGTTTAACATCATGCTCAAGAATACTTGACTGACACAGCAATATGTGTATGTGGGTTTGGCTTGTATTGGCCCAGACTAACACCGGTTTTAGAGTGCTGGGTCCCAATCCACAAAACGTTCGTAGCGCTACGACATTCGTAAGTCTATGATAAAGTATAGAGTTACGACAGGTCATAACATTACGACCACTTGGCGGATCAGGTCCTTGGTCCACTGGGACACCATGCTGCAGTTTAACATAGTTTCCCTACTCAGGCTCATTATACTAACTCCTAGCCAACCAGTTTTACCCCATTACTACACCAGGCAAGGTAACAAAAATTACCATCTACAAGATCTAACCACCGAACTTCCACTCTCCAGGCACAGGCTCGACCTACAATGGAGGCCATTAATTGACTCACACAGCCTTATATACAGCCTTGATATATTTGCATCATAATCTTGGTATACACAACCTTTGTCTTTCAGTTCTGTCAGTGATCAAAGGTATCTGATGTCATCCAGTCTATATATAATATATTTCTTATCTTTTAAGTCTTTTCACTTCATTACTTTTACTCTAGAATTTAAGACATGTGTATGTTTGGGTTTTTTACCACATCTAGGCTTTTTGCAAATTTTATCTGTTGGCTCATCCTTGAAACTCAGGTGCAAAGTATCCATAACTTGTTACATATTGGGTACAACTATGGGCAACCTTCATCCACTGAATATGGATCATCTACATCACTAGTAAGCATGGGAATTGTTTTAAACATATTTTATTGTCCAAAACGACAAAAGGGTCGGGCACAAGTACAGGAATTATTGAGAAGATATTTCTTTTCATAGATGTCATGTCAGTATAGGATATCCGCTGGAGGACGTTGCCCAAATTTCATCAATTACTAAGTCTACAAAGTTGTAGCATTTTTATGGCTGAACATAACAACCTAGCAAAACAAGATATACGAGTACACTTGAAAATTTAATTTGGCTCAAAACCTACAACCATTGCCCAAACAAAGACTCCTAGATACTTGTAACGTAAGGTCCAAAATTCACCTAAAATAAAACATATCACCATTGAAAGATCATTTCCTGTTTATTTCAACTTTGGCCACCATTGAAATCATATACTTTAATTTGGCCAGCAGTTTATGTACCTTCATATCTGTTCACATGACTGTTAAGATATGGACAGTTCACAGAAGAGTTATTCCCCTTGCCTATGTGACTGTGTTAAACATTTGATTTTTTGAGTATTATCAGAGTTATACAATGTTTGTTCCTGTGGAATGGGTTGTGGAAAACTTACATCTGGGGTTTGAGGATGTTGATAGCTGTCAATTATACCAACTAACAAAAGGGCTTGAAGCAGTGGTTATGAGTAGTCTCCCTTTTATGTTGGATTAGCTCCCCTGTATCAAGGTTGGAGTTAGGTTTATTGCTTGTTACATTCACACATATATTTTAATTATGAATGACGGGGATTTTTTCCCTGTTTTAGAAAGGTTTCATGAAGAACTTTTTTTTCTTCTTTTTTCAAAATTGAATTGTATTGATAGTTGGTCCACAGCTAAATCTAACAATGAGTTAAAAAACACTTGCATTTGAGAATTTATGTTGAATCATTACCTCTACTGTGAATTCTTTTTTCTCATTAGCTAGCTCACCTTGCTTTTATTAAAATGTGTTTTAAAATTCATAAATAATACTTAGTCAATAAGAAATTCACAAGAAAGTCATAAATTTGTTTGCTCAAATAGAATTCAGCAATTAATTTTATTTCAGCTCAGGCTTTCAGCTGCTTCTTGCCCTAACATCATAGGAAGTTCCAGAAAGAATGGCTGTTTGAGGTCAAGGAAAGTTATAATAACATTGAGAGGATTCTTAAAATATATGTTAGCAGTGTACAGCTCTGATGCTGATGGTTAAGCCATCCACTCGTCATACCAAGACCTGGGTTCGATTCCCCACCTGGTTACATTATTGTGTGAAGCCCAGTTATGGTGTGCCCTGTCATGATATTGCTGGAATATTGCATAAAGTGGTGTAAAACCATACTCACTCACTCATGTAGAGAGAGGGGTGACAAGGGAGTGAGGGCTTCAAGACACTTTTGTTGTGATGGGAGTAAGCATTGGATAAAGGTACTGCTGATTGGTTGTCTTTGATTCTTTGCATACCACTGGTAATTCACCTATATGTTCAGTGATAACAGGAAGTTGGAAGCAATCTTTCGCCACTGATGTTTGAACATTGTTGTCATTGTATTACCAACCTTCTTTCTGGAATTTCCGTCCTTTGCATATAGATATGACACTTGTTTTCTTCCTCCATGCTTGGTGCCTTATGATAGATATATATAGCAGTATGGTTAGTACTTAAAGTATATACTGTCATTGTGGATAGTAGGTTTCCATCTTTGCATCATACTACACTGACGATTGAACCACGATTGTATATTTGTTAATGCAGGAGGTGATAAAGTACCACTATGATATTATGTTCCTGCTTCAATGCATATTCAAGGATTTAACTAGGATTTGAAAATATTTGTTATTTACTGACCGCTGTCATATAGTTGTAATATAATATTGCTTAGAGTTGCATTAAACAACAAACAAACAATAAAGAATGATATGGAAACCTGGAAGTGAATTGTTCACAAACTAATTATGAATGAAAAAACATTTACGGATCATAAATATTTGGGGTGATGTTTACTTTATGTTGAAGACTGATCATACAATTTCATAAAAATATTCCTGTAGGCATTCATTGTACCTATTGTTTTTGTTGAGAAAGATAATAGGTTGACTGTAACTATCATTGTCTTTCAGCTTTGTTCTTTGTCATCTGTTTACAAGTTACTGTTTTTGCTTACACCATTAAATGTGATTTACAATGATTCTGTACTTGTAGGAGGTTCTGTTTTGCATAACATAATCGATGCACTTCAAATGCAAACACTCACTCTCATACTTTCATATTTTCATTATCTACACTGTCAAATTAACCAAACTATTACAAACTGGCTCAAAAGGTACTTTCAGCATTTGTGGATTCTTATTCTTGTGCTTATAGCAAATAAAATTTTAAATTTCAAAAATTCATGTTATGGTGTCAAAAGAATTCAATCAAGCCCCCGTAGATGTTGATAGTGTAGTGATGATAGTATGTCCTGTATTTCCTTAGAGCTTTTCAAACTGTCATTAGAGCTTATAGAACTAATGTCCTTAGAGCTTGTAGACCACCTTCGTGTATTAGATATTCAGGGACTGACCATTTGTTATTCTTGGAGGGTTTGGGGATACTGAAGTTTAGCTGCTGATCAATACATCCAATCTTTCGCCCTGTAAAAAAGGAAGACAAATATATTTTATGCATTTTTTGGCGTATAACCAACTTTATTTCTCACAACACCCACCAAAACCTGAGAAAATATACGTTTTTGTAAATTATAATTTGTATAACAAAATATATTATTTTCAAAAGAATCCATCTTCACTCCTGCCTCTCATCTCCCTGCTACTCACAAATAGAATATCAAATTGTCCGTCCCTTCGACGTCTTTTTTAATCACTTGGCCTTCAGATTTATTGAACATGTTGATTGATGATCAAAATAGATTTCTCAATAAAATTTTAGAAATATGTATTTTGAATAGTAGTTGCCTCAAGTTATTTCGGTTACTAATAAATTGAATTTTAAAAATGATGAAGTGTTTTTAAACAGCTGTTGTTACTTCGGGACCTTCATTGAAGTAGTTTTGGATTACTGAAATGATTTAGCTTCTATTGATAGAAAGGAAAGGAAGAGATATATTTTGTTAAATTTTAATTATATTCCACATTTGTGAAATTAAGAGAATGATAGAAATATTAACCTGTATTATAAATGACATACAAAAATACCAACACTTTTATTCAGAATGACTTTTTATCATCAGAAGAAAATACTTCTAAACTTACTTGAGTGTGGACCAGCATTTGAATACAATTTTGGAAAGTGATAAATAAGTCTGTCAAAATTTTGCATTTGGTTCCAAAGATTTTTTCATTCTCATTTCTTACCACAAATTATTGTCCATCACAGGCTTTCAGTTTTGTTTTATGCAATATGTGGCGTCTTCATTCCAGGACTTGTAAAATTTACATCACATTGACAATCGAATACTAAGGGAACATGGTCACAGCATTGTGTCACGTTCCTGAAACTGAAATAAATATCTTAAATCATTCTTTGTAGTTACTTACAATGTGTTTGTCAAGAATATTGATTCCATTTGTTGAATCTTTTGTCTTTTGTTTCGATTCCCCACATGGGCACAATGTGTGAAGCCCATTTCTGGTGCCCCCAGCCGTGATACTGCTGGAATATTGCTAAAAGCGGCGTAAAACTAAACTCAGTCAGTCAGTTTTGTCTTTTGTAAAGAGTACACTACCAGTATTCACTAGTACCTATATGATTCCGATTAGCACTGTGAGCATACATGGTGTGGAATTTGGTGCTATATTAATGGACACATTATTTTTATTATTATTATACCCATGCAATACATTGTTGGTTTTTTTAACATAGACTTTTTTTCAAATAATTCAAATTTTTACAGGTTTGACACAGATGCTCTGATTCGGTTCACCCTGACTGTGCGGAAAAACTACCGCAATGTACCCTACCACAACTGGGTTCATGCGTTCTCGGTGGCTCACTCCATGTATACAGTCATCAAGCGGGCAGACCACCAGTTCACTCCACTTGAGGTCAGTCATTTCAACACCTTGTCTCATATACAGTGTGTAATGATAACATGTGTCACAACCATACCAGCATGGTGGTAGGACAGGACCACTTGAGGTCAGTCATTTCAACACCTTGTCTCATATACAGTGTGTAATGATAACATGTGTCACAACCATACCAGCATGGTGGTAGGACAGGACCACTTGAGGTCAGTCATTTCAACACCTTGTCTCATATACAGTGTGTAATGATAACATGTGTCACAACCATACCAGCATGGTGGTAGGACAGGACCACTTGAGGTCAGTCATTTCAACACCTTGTCTCATATACAGTGTGTAATGATAACATGTGTCACAACCATACCAGCATGGTGGTAGGACAGGACCACTAAATGTGGTCAGTCAGTTTCAGACCTCTTTCTCACGGACATGTATTATAACTGCTAAGCTGGTAGGGCAGGACAGCAGTGTTCTCCACTTCAGTCTGCTTCAGATTCCTTTCATTAACTGTGTATGTCTCTGCAATAGCATGCGCGGTACACAATATGCCTGTCACCTGACTTCAATATGACTCTAGGCACAGCAGCAAATTGGCGCATAAATAGGGTTGCGTTAGCAAAGAAAAAAATGACCAGTCTTACCCATATGCGAGTGAAGCGAGGCAAAGGTTAACAACTTCCTTTCCAACCCGGTTCGAAAAATATTTTTAATATCAAAATAAAATATGCCCATCATCAAAGGTAGACACCCATTTCCTCACAGAGTTGTGCTCTCAGATTTTCCAACCTCATATTTAATAATTACTCCATTGCCAATATATTTAATTCCAACATTTCAAAGCATAAAATTGTGGCATGTCATTAACTGTTGTTAGCTTCCATTACCCCTGCCAGCTTCGGGTTCAGCGGAGTGAAGGAACAAGAATAAGCAGAAATTGAACAAAAATCTTATTGCATAATTTTACCTTTAAACTGTTGGGAATTATTTTTTCTTACCTGCCCGTCCTTCTGTTAGAATTTTCATAACATATATTCTACAAAAACACTTCTGCGTAGCGGGTAAATGAAATCAGATTTAAATTTAAGTCCCCTGTTCCTTCACCCGTTGAACCGAAGCTGGCAGGGTAATGGAGGCTAAGAACGGGTTGACATGCCAATGTCAGTTGATATGAGGTTGGAAATCTGAGAGCACAACTCTGTGAGGACATGGGAGTCTACCTTTGATGATGGGCCATATTTTATTTTGATATTAAAAAATATTTTTCGAACCGAAACGAGCGAACGGTTAAGTTAATCTTGCTTTGCTTCATTTCGCCGCGATACACATGGAAAGACTGGTCATTTTCTTTGATGCGAAACCCTAAGTGCTTACAATTGCCTGTGCTCTGGAAAGGTGACATTACTGTATACAGTGATACGTCCCCAGTTTCTGGTGTTAATGGTCAATGAAGTCAGAAATTTTCTTCTTCAACATCAGAAAGTTGTGATAAAAGTGTCCAGGCAGCATCCTTGTTATCGATATAAAGTATATACTGTCATTGTGGATAGTAGGTTTCCATCTTTGCATCATACTACACTGACGATTGGTTCCGCGCATTGGATATTTGTTAATGCAAGAAGTGATAAAGTATCACTTATGATATTATGTTCCTGCTTCAATGCATATTCAAAGGATTTAACTAGGATTTGAGAAAATATTTGTTATTTACTGACCGCTGTCATATAGTTGTAATACAATATTGCTTAGAGTTGCATTAAACAACAAACAAACAATAAAGAATGATATGGAAACCTGGAAGTGAATTGTTCACAAACTAATTATGAATAAAACAACATTTACGGATCATAAATATTTGGTGTGATGTTTACTTTATGTTGAAGACTGATCATACAATTTCATAAAAATATTCCTGTAGGCATTCATTGTACCTATTGTTTTTGTTGAGAAAGATAATAGGTTGACTGTAACTATCATTGTCTCTTCAGCTTTGTTCTTTGTCATCTGGTTTACAAGTTACTGTTTTTCTTACTCCATTAAATGTGATTTACAATGATCGATCAGTTCCAATGTGTGTTGTGTGTATTTTCAGAGCCTTGCACTGTTTGTGGCATGCTTATGCCACGACTTGGATCATCGCGGAAGAAGACCAACGCCTTCATGGTGAAGAGTGCATCTCCCTTGGCAGCAATCTACTCCACCTCCACCATGGAACATCATCACTTCAACCAAACAGTGGCAATACTGCAGGTAACTAGCTCACTGGGAGTACCCATACATTATGAAAACCTCATTATCATACATTACATTAGGATATCAGCTTTTCACTGGTTTTAGGAGGGAAATTATTTATCATGTAGCTTAGAGACTGAGTAAAACATTTGTACAGCCCACTGACAGATCTGAACACATCTTTGATAACTTGCTTACTTGCAAAAAAAAAAAAAAAAAAAATATTGTTGAGTTTCCGAAATGAACTAATGTCTTTGAATTCATAGGGTGAATTGAAGTTCCTTTCTTTCATTTATGTTGTCTGTTACCAGTCATGCTTAAACTCTGTGAAACTGTGGACATAGGTTCTGGAACTTTAATGAATGAATGTCAGTAAGCCCATTGTTCACTATGATATGATATGATGTACCTTGTGTGATGGGGTCCTGTAGCTCACACAGAGAGAACATTGTACCTTGAATACTAGTACCTCGAGGTCAACTTACAACTTTTAATGTTAGTCATGGGTCATGTAGGTGTGAAAATAGAACACATATCTTACATAATTAATGCTGTAAACCACATAAATATAATGAGGGAAACAAATAAGGAACACCACATCATTGCAGTGTTCCTATATTATCAGATTTTCACCTACAGTGCAATACAAAGCTTGTGAAGAAACCTGAAAAGAATAAAGGAACATGTGTGCTTCCATGTGTTCCCTTATTTGTTTCCCCAGTTGTTTCCCTCAGTATATGTATCCTCCTACATGGTCAGTCGGTTGTGTCAGCTTGTATTTGATGGTGACACTGGAATTAACTGTTGCAGCATGAAGGTCACAACATCTTCAGACACCTTTCCTCAGAAGAGTACAAGAAGGTAAGATGACCTCTGAGATGTGAGTGAGTGAGTTTAGAGTTACGGGCCTCAGCAATATTCCAGCAATATCACAGCAGGGGACAATTCAGAAATTGGCTTCATGCATTATACCCATGTGGGAAATTAAACCCCGGTCTTCGGTGTGACCAGGGAACACCTTAACCCTCTAGGGCTACCCACCTCCCTCTCTGAGAAGTTACATGTATGTTTATGCACTGTACTGAATGGACCCTCTTCATCTTATCAAAATATAGCCAAGACACAGGAGCATGGAGAATTTAGTAATATAGCTGGGCTGCTTGGAACATGGAGAATTTAATACTCTAGCTGGGCTGCATAGAGAATGGAGAATTTGCTAATTTTAGAAAGTTTTTTAGAATTTAGAAGTTACTAATATTTGGTGTAGGTGTATCATGACGTACCAAGAATCGATATTTCAGCCAATATTCATGCTGCCATTTCAGGTTCTTGGAGACATCAGGCACTTGCATTCTTGCAACAGACCTGGCACTGTTCTTTGGCAACAGAGCCAAGCTAAAGGACATTGTGGAAAGGAAGGACTTTCATGGGAGATACAATACAAGAACACAGGTAAACTCACAAACTGTAACGGCATCATACCGAATTATTATGACAGCAACCTGATGATAAAAAATATTTTTGAATAATTTTTCTGGTTATTTCATGCACATAATTATGTACTGGCACTGGTTGTACTTGTTTGAGAAATAAGGATATTCTTAGCTGCCACTACATATATGCTTAGATTATACTCAGGAGCATTGTGTTTTAATTGGTATTTTAACATCTTTGTTCATGACATTAATATGTTGCTGTGCAGTCTCTCCATTGTTTGCTTTGCGTACAAAATGATTTTTTGATAATATTTATACTTAATCATCCATAATATCTGGCATCTAAAGGTAGATTGTTTTGAGTGAGCTTTTGTTTAACCTTAGATTGTAACAATGGAATTATGTGCAACGATGCAATATCTAGGTGAAATCTGTGTGTGTTGATGGTATGTATAAATTTTAAGTATATTCTGATAACGGTAATTAATGTTTAAAGGGTATATGAAAGGGTCCTCAGAAAAAATGAAATATCCTTATTTTACAGCAAAAATAAAAGGTTTATGTGATGGAATAAGTGTCCGATGTAACATTACAGGCAGAGAATTTTATCATCCATGAAAGTCTTCTCGCTGGAGATATCACTTAGATGAGGATAGCATAGGATATCACTACAATGAAACTGCATTGCAATACTTTTCAAACATTGTGATATCTCTGTTGCCATGACATCACAATCAAATGGCATCACTAGTCTGTCTGTCTGACTCACTGTACTGTATTCTCAGGATGCTGTTTGTTACTCTTTACAAGCTCTAAATGTTTAAAGAATCTTTATCCTAGACTTAAATACACTTTTAATCATTTATAGATTGATTACACAATGCCATTTAGACAGTGGCAAAAAGTAACATAGGTTATATTTGAGATTACTCTTCTTGAAAGTCATGCTGGCTGAGCGGTCTAGGTGGCTGACTTTGTGTGCTGGTGATTAGGGCCTGACTCTGAGGGTGTGGGTTCGAATCCTGGATGGGACTCAACCCAACCAAAGCTCATGAATCTGTGCTTTTACTAAGAAAGCGTAATCCCAAATATAACAAATGTTACATTTATAGACTGGTGTTCAATATGTTCTATATCACTATATATATTCCAGTATTATATGTTTGATAAGGATCAAGTTTTGATGATGATCCAACAAGTACACAAAGATTGGGTAGCCCGCGACAGGATCTTTACTTTCCATGATGAAGAAATGCATGAAGAAATGCATGCAGTCAGTCATGATGTACTTGCAAACCAATGTTTGCATATATTGTGACAGAATCGTTGCACATCATTATCAGAGGGCATGACAACATATGCTACTGAGGATTGCATCCAGGAAATGCCCTTTATTCCACCTCAGCATTAGAGATGTTGTATGATGATCGAAGAATGAGGCAGACGCATAGACATGTTTGAAACTGGGTCATCACAATGTCATGCTGCCAATGTCTTTTATGCCAGCCAAAGTATGATCATCAGAGCATGGAATCAGTACAAGATGTTACCTAGCAACCTGTAGGTGGTGGATAGCCGCTCCACTGGATACTGAAAGGACCGGGTCTCCAGAAACAGTGGAAAGCATGTGGTGTTGATGTTTTGGACAGTGTTCCACTGCATATGGAAAGATAGGTTTCTCATGAAGAACCTATCGCCTCTCGAAGTTGGTCTCTAGTCACATGACCTGAGTAAACATTGTATCCGACTCATCCAGCATCACTGATTATTGGTCGTGGGTGTTGTTTGTTGACATTGTGTGTGGCACATGACATCAGCTTTTTATCATGTTTCAGTCAATACCATCTTCAGCTATTTTAACAGAAGCACATAGATTCACATATTTACTTTATGGAGATGTTCCTAAGCAAACATGAAATGCCTAGATGTTATACAAAAAAAGCAAAACAAAGAGCATAGTCTCAAAATGCAGAATGCAGGATACAATTTGAAGTTAGTCATGTTTTTGTGTTTTGTATGAAAAAGTTATTTTCATATATATATATTCTTGTAGATCCTTTTATGTTTTAAATGTAGGAAATATTTTTAAAACTCACCATGAGCTTCAGATCCATGTGGTTTGGGTCCAATGTGCCAATATCTAGGAGACTGATAAGGGAATTCATTCATTTCATTCAAGGAATCACACCCAGCCTAGTTGTCTATGGTGCAGTAATTCTGTGTGGAATTGCCTCCCTTGGGCTTACACTAGGAAACAATGATCATGGGTTCATATCCTGGCTCATGTTGATTATGTTTCCAGTTTATCAGTACCATACCTGTGCTCAAGGGTTTCGCCAAAGGTGTAAACATCTGATTAGCATCACTTAAGGCACACTTAGCTTACATGCCATGATAGAACTGTAATAGCTTAACATGGGCAATGAAACCAAACTCATTCATTCCATTCACTATTGGAGAGATCATGGTGAAGAGGTTGTTTTACAGAGTATGTGATCGTAAGTAATTCTTCAAAGTTTAAAAGACATTTTTGTCAAGGATAAATTGATATAAGGTTATGATCTGTGCTTCTGTAGTTAACTGTGTCACAGCTCCCCCACAAGTATCAGTGGGAATGTGACAAAACCAAGTGCTGAATCCATCATTCGTACATTAATGTGACCATTTATGATAAATATGAACCTAAAAATATGCCAATAATGTGGTTGTGAATGTCAATTTCATGTCCATATGACTGGAATGTGATTCAGTCAAAAGGCTATGGATTTTGTGTCAACTTCACATAAGTATTTTCATAAACCCAGAGATATTCAGCTGCAGGAGTCTCTGATGTGAACGCCTTAATGTCATGCACAGTCTACTAAATAGCTCTGTTCAATTTCAATTATTATTTTTCCCTGACACGCTTAGGCTGGTGTTACACGACATTGCCATGACATCGTGTGACCTTTGTGCAATGACAAAGCCATGGGAGGTTCAGGCGAAACAGTCAAGGTCATTTATGAGGAGTTTTATGCACAGGTGACTTCTACAGAGTGTGAAGATGTCTTGGCTGTATCAGCTGATTGTATTCAGCCTGTGTATGCATGGCAGATACTAGTATATTAGCAGTGCTCATCAACAGTCCTAGGAAAACTGTTAGGAGGGTGTATTCATGCATGAGGTTTTGCTTTGTTTTTTTGTATTGTGCACTTTGTTTTTAGTGTGTTTTCACTGCATTTCTGAATATGCTGGGTAGTTTTACATTTGTTCTTTGTCTAGTGTTTTCTCTTACTTTTAAAACTATAACTATTTTAAATGAAAATATACATTTCAAATTCACCTAAACCTTTTAATGCATATAGCACTCCACATTATTTTAAGCATCAACCCTAATATTTTGTTTATTCAATTCCTATTTCAATTTCTTTTGATTTTCTTTTGAACATATTTTGGCCCTCGCTTTGGAGTACATTTATTTAATTGTTATTTTTTCAAAAGTTTTGAATGTTCTTTAGATGCAGCATCTTGATCCTTCTGTAATGATATAAGTAAATGACATTCATAAGGATTTGCCAGATATTTCTTCATCTGTGTTTGGCTGTTATCATGAGTTCTGTAGATGAAATCAGTTGTAACTGTCTGAGTTAGTAGTAAGCAATGGAGGATTGTACTGCAGTCAGAACATCACATTTATTCCAAAGACCATAATTTTGGAAAATACAAAAAATGAATAAATGTGTTAACATATTTCATTGATCTGATAATATTTTTTAACTCTATATCACGCTTTCTGCTCATATCACCCTTGAATACAACCAACAACAACATGGCACCTAATCTGAAGATGATATGGCCAATGAATCCTCAGGAAACAAGCAATAATGTTAGCGCCTGCTGTACACACAATGGTTCAGAGTCAGTCATGAAGCTGCTCTCACGGAGCTCTCATACATAGAGCTGACCCATTCTGTACTGCTGTATTCAAGGTCAGGGCGGATCCAGAGGTGGGTGTGCAAACCCACCCCCTCTCCCCACCAAATTTCCCTAACCTTTGGACTTATAATTTATGTGCAACGCCTTCCTTCTCCATAATCCTGATCCGCCCATGAAGGTGATAGATGATTGTAGTGTATACCTTTCCATTGATGATTTTCTATTCATTTTGTGGGGGTTTTGTCCATTGGAATATGTGTGATGTAAAGCCTTAATTCAACTTTTTTTTCAGATATGTTATTGTTAACTCTCAGACTTGTCTCTACATATATACTACACATTAGATAACATAGTTACAGAATTTTTAAAAAATACACTAAATTGTGCTTATTACGCATTACACACTTATAATAATAAAGAATCAGTTTATTATACCCATAATTTACTGTCACAAGGTAAGTAGAATTCTACATTTGTTCACATGCAAAAGAACCTGGAAACCTTTTGTTTTGTACAACTGGTGGTGAAAGTAACATATGTTATATTTGGGATTACACTTGGGATTCTAGTACTTTTGTTGGGTTGAGTTCTACGGGATTCGAACCCACACCCAGGTGGTGAAAGGGTCACACCATACAGTAGTAATTCCCTGTGAGTCAGTAAGGAGTGAGGTATGTAGAGACAAGTCTGGTGTTTTAGTGCTTACTTTGTGGCTAGTGTGACTATGTGGACATCTCTCTCAATCTACAGACATATGCTAATGACTGTTTCCATGATCCATGTGACCTTTGTGCCATGTATAAGCCCTGGGATACGCAGCTTAACCTCGCTTATGTCATTATGGAAGAGTTTTGGCAACAGGTAGGGAACCCTTGGTCGATATATGAGTTCTACTAACCCGCACTAACATTTTTATGACAGTTCAGTATCTAACATTGTACATTCCAGCCACCATTCTTATGATGAAATAACCTAGGGAGCAACCAGCACTCATTTAACATCAGGTTTAACTGGAAGGTCTTACAACAACGTAATAATAAACAGACTTCCTGAGGAGGTCTAGCCCTCAAAAGAGGGTCTTTTATCACAATGATAAAAAAGATTTCTGGAAACCTCTTTGTTCTACAATGATAAACAGATTTACTGAGCAGGTGTTTTACTGCCAGGATAAACAGATTAACTGGGGAACTTCTTTGTACTACAATGATAAACAGATTTTACTGAGCAGGTGTTTTACTGCCAGGATAAACAGATTAACTGGGAACTTCTTTGTACTACAATGATAAACAGATTTTCTGGTCAGGTGTTTTACTGCCAGGATAAACTGATTTACTGGGAACTCCTAACTCCCCTTTTTATTTAATTCCTATATATTATATAAAGCAAATGTGTTAATAAACTAACTGCTTGTTTCTACTCTAGCAGAAGCATAAGGCAGCCACCTTTCAGGCAGTTCCCTTGAAATTGAAAACCAGATGATAGAGATTTTTTAACTAATTCTGAATTTTTTGGGGATAACCTTGAAGATAAAGGTTACTCAGCATCAGTTACGTGGTCAAAACCTAGTGAATGTGAACCCATTGGTGAGGTCAAGGTCACCTCTGCAAGGTCAAGGTCACTAGAAGTCTCATTCTGGAACTTGGCTCAAATTTCACAATATTTCACATTAATTTCAATCAATTCTAGTTCCCCAAAACCATATTCCATTTTTGCAATAGTTTCAGTGCGGACGCTGTAATTATTGTAGGATGTAGATCAGACACTGTTGTGGTAGTACTGCAGTGTGTGTAGGCACAATCATGTAGCTTGTACTAGAAGTTGTTAGGAAGTATCACTTTATGCCTGCAACATTGTACTGTGTGATTTGAAGTTTTATTTCATCAGGGAAATGGGAAAATGTTGTGGTATAAGCTTATAAATGAATCCTCAACTGATACCTACATGGTTTTTGAAATGGTTTGTATAAGAATGAATTATTTTAAAAAGTAAAGAGTACTTGTCTATTAGGACATTCATTCTATTAGCTGCATTGATGCTGTCAGTACTGTGGAATCATAAATATCAAAATTACACCTTGTCAAGTTGTCATCAACCAGGAAACAGTCTGTCAGTAGTTAAATGAATCATCACATGCTGTATTAATTGAGAACCAAGGAGGGTCCAGGGTAGAATTGGTCTTCAGCATCCCATGCTTGTCATAAGAAGTTACTAACAGGATCAGGTGGTTAGGTTCACTAACTTGGTTTTTCGATTATTTACAGACCACCTTCATATAGCTGGAATATTGCAGAGTGCAGCATTAATCAACAAACAAACAAAATATTAATTGAGATCTGTCATCCGTCAAGTGATAAGTTAATGAAGGCTAATTGTTTACTACATTATTGCTCCATGTGAATATAGTCCAATCTCACAGGTTATTGCCTGCTGTTTTCTTGGATTTCTTTGTGTGATGTTTTTTAATTATTTCTCTCTATCTGTCATCTTCTGGGTGTCCTGTTTGTCTTCATTACTCAGTCCTCAGTATGGAACTTCACTGTAGAGATACTGTTGTCCAGGATTACTGCTGGAAATATGTTTGTAGATAGTTATTGTATAGGTAAACAATTTAAGTGCCTATAACATACACTCCTACACCTTATAAATAATCAGCCTAGACATTCTTGTTATATTTATTGTAAGATTCTTCATTGATTAACAAATGTAACTCAACTTTTTTATGATTTGCAATTGTGATCATGAAATGTGCTATAATTTCTGTTTAAATTAAGAAAGTAAACTGTAATATGGCCATTATCATCATAAACACATTTTCAGCCTGAAGTGATAAATTTTTTAAAGTTTTAACAAAAACACTTTATATGCATGTGATGTGATGCTCTACAGTTTCAATATGGTGACCTTTGACCTTTGACCTTGTAGGGAGATGAGGAGAAGGAACAGGGCATGACCCCAATGGCAAATGATGGATCGACAAGAAAGATGAACTCGCCTCAGCTTGAGGTGAGCTCAATGTCATTGCCATGTTGAGTGTGAGAAGGGGAGGAGTGATTTATAGCCATGTCAGCATATGTGGGCCATTTTGTTTGACTGAAGATGAATTCCATGTCTGTAGTATTTGTGCCATATTTTTATGTTTGGAGAAGGTGAGCTGAGAAATGTTTAACTGATAACAGGGCCCCGCTCCTCAAAAACGATCATAGCACTAAGCTGATCGTGAACTTTAACAATTAGACTTCATTTACTACTTTATTGCTTTGAGGAACGGGCCCTGCAGTATTTCAGTCATATTGTATGACTGGAGCAGGTTCACAGTTTGAATTTATGGCTGTTTCCAGCAAGACGCGTCAGACTTTAGGTCACCAAAAAACACCTTTTAGGAAGTGCAACCAGTTGAACAAAAGATGTTTACCAACAACCACCTGGACTGTTTCATTAAAACGATCGCTGTGCACCAAGATGATCGTGAACTCCCATACTTTAACATAGACTTTACGACTGTCGAGTGCTACGATCGCTTTGGAGGAATGGGCCCTGGTGTTATCATCACTCCTTCCAGCAATCTATTCCTATGATTTCCATCAATCATTCGCCTATTAGTCCTTATGAAACCTGGATCCTATGAGAAATTGAGACTAAGCATCCCCTGATGGCACATTTTGAATTTTCACACTGCATCAGCTACATGTAAGGTCTAAATATATGATGTTTTATCTCTAGGTGGGCTCTCATTGTTGGAATATGTTTGCCCTGTTATGAGTTGCTGGCCCAGATTCTTCCCCGAGACAACACCAATGGTTGATGGAATAAGGTTAGTCTCTCTTCTGTTCTCAACAAACCTGTGACAGCAGTTTTTAATAGTGGTAATACATATGTCTTTATGACACACTTTGGCTCAAATTGTTTGTCATTAATAGTATTACTAAGAATCTGTTCTGTACAAAGTGAAGCTTTGGTTTATATGTTTGGGAAAGAATTAAGACATATACAATCTTGAAAGTAGCCATTTATTGCACCTTGGCATGAATGCAATATTTGTTAGAAATGTAAAGATATTTAATATTCCCTTCCAGAGCAAACTTAAACAAATGGAAGGAACTGGCTGAGAAAGCCAAGGAAGAAAAAACGAAGCAGAGAAGGAAGTACTTCAGGAAACTAAGTCAAAAGTAAAAGTGCTGACTAAGGACAAAAAGAGAAGCTTTCCCCAATGGAGAGAATTACAAATGGTGATGACCATTGTGTGACGCATTGATGGGCATGAATATCTTGCTAGAACCTGACTGACTGCCATTATGTCATTTAGTATGGACACAGTACCTGTGAAGACCTGCATGGCCTTCAACTGAAACACTCAGTCTGGGGTGAATATGCAGGAGGCATAGAACTTGTTCAGCAGGGGATTTAGATACAGTACAGTTTTTACTGAAAATCATTGACAAGACTTTTATTGTGCTTAGTGAATGGTGTTCATCATGGATGCCAAAACACGGGACACAGACAGAAAGTGAAGAGGACATATTGCTGTGGTTAAGGCACTGAGCAAGATCTTTACCAGAACACAAATGTTTTATAAACTACATGACATCTTTGTAGGGGATATGTGGGTGTTTAAAGTGTTGAACATAGAACTTTTGCCAGGATGGCTCTATGAATAATATACCCTCAAAGGCATGATATTCTCACTTTAGGAACTGAGGATGACATTACTATCCGACTTTGCATACCAGTGTTTCATATAGTGTTTCCTACTTTATCTTTTGCTAATGCAAAAAATATATAGACATCATCACGCTGTAATCTGGATTGCATCAAAGGCTGACTGGAGAGCACTGGTCCCTTGTATGTATGAGGATTTGAAGAGGATGTCTACAGGACAATCAACTTAAGTATCTGTGTCACCTGTTGTGATATGACAGTAGGTAACTAACCCTTTTAATGTGGATCACTTCCAAGACTTTGGTGAGCAGTGGTCCCTTTTATGTATAGGGCTTTGAACAGGATGCCTACAGGACAGTCGACTTAGGTCATTGTGTCAATTGTTGGAGAAGGGAGTTAGAAATGAGTGTCATGTTGTTAAATGACAATGGAACTGCAGCTTGTCCTTGTGGACAGAGAATGATGGAGAGAACTGTGATGTGAAGGGTTTCACCAAGTGGTATAGGGTCCATGATTAGCTTCCTGTTTAGGGGCAGTGGTAGCCTAGTGGGTTAAAGCTGCTGCCTCAGCCTAAATAAGACATCGGGTTCGAATCCCTTCCCCATGGGTACAATGTGTGAAGCCCATTTCAAGCAGAGACATATTGTGATATGACTGAATGCTGTTCAAACCCAACTCACTGACTCAAACAATGTGAAGAAGGTACCTGAGGAGCTCTTCTCTGATCTGAATCGTGGTTGGAGATAATGCGGTCATCTTACCACAGATGTTCAGTTTAAGTTTGTTGGAAGTGACACATGACATGTTGTGCAGTTTACCAATGATATTAGAATATTTTGATTGACTTGCAACATGAATGAAGGTTGGCTTTTTTAAAAGCTCACAGTAGTTGTACAGTGTATGTGTATGGAAACCTGAAACTATTCAGCTGTTGGAAAATAATTGCAAGAGAATACATTATCATTCAGGATAACTTTTGTGAATCAATATGTACTTTCTTTGAGCTTTAAACTATGCATAAATCAAATAACAGATTCCATTTAAACCAAGTATTTCATTTGAAGAATTGAAGGATATGTTCACTGACAGTTCACCTGTGTCACCAGTATGATACAAATTTTGTATTATGCTGTTCTATGTCATCCTTTTCTAATAGTTTGTAAATCAACAATTATGAGTTTTGATTTTCATGACAGTGAAATAGATCGTCTCAAATTTAACATCCTCTTTGCTTTTAGAAAAGTATACAACTTTATGGATAACATCTTCTTATTTGATTGAGTAATTTTCAGTGTAAAGTCTTACACCATTATCAAGTTAAATGTGAAACTGAGTTAATTAAAAATCAAATATAAGTCAGCCCATCTAATAAACAAGCATTGGTATCTATTGAGTTTTTATGCCTGTTATTTCCTCACCAACTTCTAGAATGCTGATCAAACGATTCCCTTACATTCAGTCACTCCCTAGACATTTCTCACACATTACTGTTATTGAGCTATAATGTATAAATTGGTTCAGATATCATAATTATGTATATATTCACCACCACTATATCACACAGTGCATTAAAGACGATGTTCTTGACCAGGTAAGGAAAGCATGTGTCATTTGGGATCTCTATGAACGTAGGTGAAATTACATAATTGATATGCAAAACAATGTCAAAAGTTTGATTGCAATATACAAATGAAAATTTTGATGACATTATTTTCTTAAAGATATTAGTTTAGGAATGTATGATAATTAACATGTTTACATATATATGACATACACATTCCTGTTTATATATAATAGTAGTCATATATACACATACATACATACATACATACATACATACATACATACATACATACATACATACATACATACACACACATATACATACATACACACATACATAATACATAAATACATACACACACACATACATTCATGCACACATACATATATTTGTGGATTGCACCGTGTGTTCAGCCTTATCCTGACTGAGAATGCAAAATGGCCTTGGCTTTTTGTACAGGACATGTATATCTATTTGAATTGACTGTTGATATGACCTTGTTTGTACCCAATGAAGATCCATATGTCATTGATGTCTGATGTATGTGTATCCTACAGCTGCTTCAGTGATTGGACAGAAATAAACAATTTGAATATGATTCCTTTAGTGTTGCTACCTATTTTCGCATGATTTAGAGTGAGTGAGTCTGATTTTAGCAGTTTAGCCTATATTCCAGGCATGTGGCAGTTATGGATCAGGGTCTTTATCGAGTTTAAGGTCTTTTTAGCAGTTAACCTTAATAAGTTTAACATTGCACTAAGATTACCTTTTAGTGACTTACCATCACCTTAGTGTTTTGTGAAATTAGGCCCAGGGCCTAATTTCACAAAGCACGAAGGTGATCGTAAGTCACTAAGGTAACCTTAATGCAATGTTAAAGAATGGGAGTTAAGGTTAACCTTAGTAAAGGTTGCTTCGTGAAAGGAGCAATTTTGTTTTCATTGTACTCTACCTGTTTGAAATTAAGAAACAAACGCATAGTGACAGAGGAGAAATATGGTTTTGAAACTCTAATTCTGCTCAGTTTCCCACATCAGAGGTTGCAGTTATAGTTTCTATGTTTGTTTGTTTGTTTGTTTGTTTGTTGTTACACGTTGCACTCAGCAGCATTCCAGGGCCCTTTCACAAAGCACTAAGGTTATGGTACGTCACTAAGGAAACCTTTTAGTGCAATGTGACAGAATGGGAGTTAAGGTTAATCTTAGTATACGTTGCTTCGTGAAAGGAGCACTTGATATATGGCAGGGGTCTGTAAATAATCGAGTCTGGGCCTGGCAATCCAATGATCAACAGCATGAGCATCAGTCTACAAAATTGTCATACGTTCAAATGTTGACATCCGATCTCTCAGTCGCCTCTTACGAGACGAGAAACATGGGTTACTCAAGAACAATTCTAACCCGGATCTTCACGGGTCGCTGCAGAGGCAGACAGGTGCTAAGTCATTACGTTGTTGTAGCAAAAGGATGAAGACAGCTTGTGACAATCCTTAGTGACAGTATTTTATTTTTCTTCCTTTGTTAAAGAAAAATCCCTGAAACTTTCTGTCAAAATCGGATCAAGAGCAAAAGTGTCAAAAGAACGAGCCACTGTAATCGACATTGCTATGCCTATGATTGTCTTTATTATCTTGCACTGTGAGTCGTGTGTGACGGAAACCATTCTCTTTTCTCCTGTTTGATTGATAAACTTGGTGTGGGTGTAGTTATGCTTGAGGACGATGCTATTCAAGACTTAACTGACATAATTGTTATGAAGCATGGGAATGCTAGTCTGTCTTTACAGACCCTGAAACAAATATATCCAAGAAAGCCCTGGAAATTCTAGAAAATGTGGCAAGTCTAGATTTGAAAATGAAGAAAGTCTCAGGCTCCTTTTCATGATATTTTAGTTTTTACTATGGGCTGTTTTCTGAAAATATGTTCATTTCAGAGACCAGTTGTTAGTCTATGGGAATGCATAATATTCCAGCCATATGGTGACGGTCTGTAAATATCGAGTCTGACCAGACAATCCAGTGATCAGCATCACGTTGTTTCGATATCCTCAACTAATTGTGCTGCACTTGTGGGTAGCCCAGTGGCCAAAGCCTCGCCCGCTCTGTGACGCCGAAGACCCGGGTTCGATTTCCCAGATGGGTACAATGTGTGAAGCCTATTTCGATGTCCCCCGATGTGATATTGATGGAATATTGCTAAAAGCGGCGTAAAACCATACCACTCACTCACCCACTATGAAATATTTTCTTTGCTTGTTGTTTGACGCCGCTTTCAGCAATATTCCAGCTACATAACGACAGCCTCTAAATAATCCAGTCTGACCAGACAATACAAGCAATGATTGACATCACATGCATCGAAATGAACAATTGGGATATGGATTATAACCGTAGGAGTTCTTCTAAGTCAGCGTTAATTTGCGACAGAATTAAATTTAAAAAAGTGGTTGGAACATAACTTTTTTATGTTGTAGCGCATGAGGCAGCTGATCAGTTAACACTGAGGCACACTTTGACTTTTTCATAAGCATAAATGTTTTAGATTAAATTGTAATACATCAATTGTTCTTCATTTTCAAGATGAGTCAATACATCAGATATTTATATGTCTTTAAAGACGGTATCGACTCGCAAACCATTGCTGCATTTAATTCAAAGCATTATCAAGTGTGTTTGAAACGTCCACGCCCGTCTGGATTATCCGTTAAAACAATTTCCTTTGAGCGTCACAGTTAAAATAGGGTGAACACTATATCATAAATGAACCATTGAAATCACTGATTATGCCATGCGTTGGCTAAAAAAATCGCAATGCAGTTCTGTTCTTCCATTGGCGTTAAAAAAATGAGTGTTTGTTGGTAACTAACGTCACACAGGCCTAAAGATGTTAATGAATTTCTGACGTCAATAGGCCCTTCAAAACCGTCTATAATCGCCATTGTATTTTACGCC